TTACTATTGAAACACACTTGAGCCGTTATGAAATGTATTAAAGAGTTTTTTGATAAATCTAAAGGTGCATTTGCAGGAACTTACAACGACTAGGCTGTTCGGTTATTCGGAGGTATGCTGCCTGACTTGCTGGTGCGTCAGCCAAAGACGAGGATCCACTGAGGGTTCACTTAGCTGCCAACCATTTGCACTGCACAATGCATCAACTCAGCAACAGTTTACGTACCGTACCAATATTCTCGAGCTACCTTGGACAAGGGGTCTTCGCCCCTGCCAGCAACAGTTTCCTCCACACCACATGCCCAAACTGTGACTACCAAAACCATGATGCATGCATGCTGTGACGCATGTATATGCCATGATGCATGTATGACAGGCAGCGAGTTTTCAGTTGCTGGGCAGAACGTTGGGCACTTTCAGGAATGGCCCGTCCATCTTGGGTACCTGGCTCAGCATTTCCTCCCTGCAGCCCACACAGCCATGATGGTGTACCAGACGAGAGGAACAAGATCCGGTTTGCAACAACCTGGCAACTGTACCCACACGCAAAGCTCCCAACGTACTGAAAAAGGGCAAAAGATCGGTTTGTAGCAGCATGTGGAAAGAAAGTGGAGTGCTCCATCTCACCTATATGGAGTCGCATCTCACCTGTTTTCAAAGGCGACAACAACATCCTCTCTCATGTTATCTGGCCGCAACTCCTCCCCTCCTGGCATGGACCAGCATGGCATGGTTGTGCCACAGCAGAATGAAGTGCGGTGCTGGTGATGACTCTCACCTGTTTTCAAACTTGACAACGACGTCTTCTCTCATGTTATCCGGCCGCAGCTCCTCCCCTCCTGGCATAGACCATGGCATTGTTACGATCGGAGTGGGGTGGGATGTGGGAGGGACGTGGGTTGCAGGTGAACCGCTGGAAAAGGTCCAATGGTCAGGGTGAGGGGTGAGGGGTCAGGAGTCGGTGATTGGGGGTCCAGGTCAGGGGTAAGGGGTCAGCGGTCAGCAGGAGTTGGGGATTAGGAGTTGTGGATTATTAGGAAGGGGGGTTAGCATGTGCAAGGCCCTTCTCTAAGGATTCAAGGGAGTGGCATGGCATGGTTATATTTTGCACAGTGGACCTGGACCATGCAGGGCATGGGGGTATGGGGGTAGCCTTAGCGACACAAATGACAGCAGGCATATCTGAAAGGCTTTTTGAGGTGCTGCAGAAGTGTTTTGAGGCGACTTGAAGGTGTAGCCTTACCAACGCGGGGCACATCTGAAAGAAATTTCTAGCATCCTCAGAAACTTGTTTGAGGCACCTCAAAGGTAATTTTGAGGCGACTCAAAAGTGTAGCCTTACCAACGCGGATGGCTGCAGGGACATCTGAAAGGTCCACCTGCTGTAGCTGCCCGAACCTGTGAGTGAAAGGGGAGGAAAGGGGAGGGGGGGTTTGGTTGGGGTGAGCGAGTAGGGTACATGTGAGTGAGGGGGGTATTTCAGTCAGGAGTGCGGATGTCTGCAGGCACATCTGAAAGGTCCACCTGCTGTAGCTGCCCAAACCTGCCAGTGTTACAGGGGGTGTGTGAGTGAGGAGGGAATGTGCGTGAGGAGGCAAGATGTGAGTGAGGAGGGCATATGCGTGTGAGGAAGGAAAATGTGATTAAGAGGGAATACCGCAAGCAGGGTACTTGAGTGAGGGTGCATGTGTGAGGCAGAATGGGTAAGCGAGAAGAACCAATCAATGTACTTGTGGTTCGTACCAGTCTACTATGCGGGAAATAGACTTGCCAAACTCCTCCTCCTGCCCACGCAAAAGCAAATTACATTTGAGACTTAGAAGCACCCAGTGAAAATGCAAACGAGTCATCACCTAACTCCGCCAACCGATCAGGTTTCAGCCCCCACAACCCCTGGCTGCGCGTCTTTCCGCCAATGCTTTGACTACCGTCCCATCCCCCACCGACTACCACCCCCCCCCCCACCCCCCCTCCCCCCTCGCCTCCCCCTACCTCCCCTCCCCCGAGCACCTCTTCCGCCGACAGCGCCAGCCGCGCCTTCAGCGCAAGGTCCTTCACATTCGGCTCTGCCTTCGCGGAAGCTTCCGCGGACGAGCCCTGGCAGCGCACCCCGCCCCGCGCAATCAACGCAGCCGAATTATGCCTGCCATATCCGCTCGCCGCAATCAACCCTCCTGGACACCTCTCTGGCGCGAATGCGGTCGCGCGGCAAGCACTTGCGGAAAAAGACGCTGAAGAGGGGAACAGGCGCGTTAGCTGGCGGTGCGCCGCGAAGCAGTGCTGAGCGACGGAGTGCATGGCTGGCGGTAAGTGCGGCGCGGCTGGTTTAACTGTGGTCAGTGCGCGGGTGCGGTAAGTGCGCTGGTGCGTAAGTGTACGAACGCGGTAAGCGCGCAAGTGCGGTAACTGTAGGGACCTCTACACAGAAGGCAACCTATGTTTGCTTGGCGCTGATTTGCCTGGTGTGTATAGGAGAACCGTTAAAACAATACTCCCTACAAGTTAATTGACCCTCGCTTCTGCTAAATTGATACAAATGTAACATTGCCCTGCATTAAATCGAATGCAGGATTATACATTCGCATCGAATAAATAGACAATAAGACAGACTAGTTTGTCTCAACATCATCGTTTGCATTCCCAAGCTGCACAACAACGCTCCCACCTGCAAAAACAGAACAAATTTGGGTAAGAGTCTCACAATGTTAGGTAGAGTCAGCGGAGGGTGATGAATACACCAGCAAAGCATACATGGATTCCCCCTTACCAAAAATCATAGCTGCTCCAATATAGCTCAAAGTCGTCCACTCTTCATGAAGGACAATTGTTGCCAAAACGGCGGAATAGAGCGGGTCGAGAGTGTAGATCACAGCCGCATCAGACGCCGCCACATGCCGGAATGCCAAAATCTGGATAGCAACAACACGCGGAGTACCGTACGTTAGCACAAATTTCTCAAATTAGGTAGCCTAATGGTCACACACACACGTAGCCTAACGGTCACTCACACACACACATGAAGGTTTTTGGGAATTCTTACCTCAAGCCAGAGGCAAAGTGCCGTAGAAACAATGCCAGTGTATGCCATTTGCAACCAGGGCCACGTGCTCGCTTGTGAGACTAATCTCGTTAGCTCGTCAGGTGATGGGAAGACACCAATTGGTGCTGTGACCGCCCCTGCTGCTGCTGCTGCAGTTGTTTCTGCTAGTGCTAAGCTGTCTGGTTGAAGGCCTGTGGCGCTGGTGATGGCCAGGCCTACAGCAGCACAGCATGCCACCGTGAATATCTGGTGTGGTGGGAGACAGAGAGATGGGGGAGTGGACACTGGAGGTAACATTTCTCACGAAAGCTCATGTGCGAGTTGAAGCCCTGTTATGAGTGTATGTAGAGATCAAAAGACAACACTGCAGCATGTGAAGAAACACCTGTTCTCGTCTAATTATACGTTACCACCAACATTTTATCAGTAGGAATAATAGGCTCCTGACAAATCCTCCGCCTCCAACAACCCATATCCAAAAACTGCATGCCCAGCTGCGAAATGCTTTCCCTCACATGATCGCAGGGAGGGAAAGCATCTCGCATGACCCCCCTCTCACTCACCCCTCTCCTCCCTTTAAATCCCCCCCTCATCCGCCCCCTGGATCCCCCCCTCATCCGCTCCCCCAGTCCCTCTCATCCACTCCCCCAGTCCCTCTCATCCGCTCCCCCAGTCCCTCTCATCCACTCCCCCAGTCCCTCTCATCCGCTCCCCCAGTCCCTCTCATCCGCCCCTCAGCCTACCTGCATGGAGATGAGGTCGAGGGTCGCAGTGGGCGGCACTTGCTTGGCAAACTGCGCTGATCGAATGATCTGCAGCCCAAACGCCATGGCGCTCACCAGAGCCAGGCCGTCCCCAACCTGAGCAGGGGAAGGACGGAATGGAGTGGCTTTCAGGCATTTGAACATGTGTCAGATGGATGTGATGTGCCAGTGAGATTGAGGGTCTGGAGGGCGGCACTTGCTTGGCAAATTGCGCTGACCGAATTATCTGCAGCCCAAACGCCATGGCGCTCAGAAGAGCCAGGCCGTCGCCAACCTGAGCAGAGAGGTGCATCGCATGATGGCACGGTAGAAGGGGATGTTGCGCTGTGCTTCTGAAGAATGTGAGGAATTATAAGGCGCCTCAGAAGCGATCCACGACCTGAGCAGAGGGACGTGGCACGGTAGAAGGGGATGTGGCGCTGTGCTTCTTAAGTGTGTGAGAAGAGAAGAGAACCGACCCATGTGCTAGCCAGGCCAGGACATGGTGCTGAAGATTGCTAAGGGATACACTTGAGACATGGGAAGGCAAAGCGAGAAGACCCCAGGGTTGGGAGGTCCATGAGGTAGAAAGCCAGCTATTGGAATGAGTGCACTGCACACACGCGCCCATGAATGGCAGGTCCAATAGTGCAGATATGTGCATCTATGAATGCTGTGTTTTTTAAATTTGCACCATCTTGCCAGCATCGATGCTTCTGAATCTCTCCAAGATTCAGAGAAGCTCTGGAACGCACCAGCGTGGAGGCCTCGGAATTGGCTTCGAGGAGGAGAACGCCAGCAACGGCGGAGGCAGTGGCAGCCCACACGAGGGGAGGAATGCGCGCCCCCAGCAGACCCGCCACCAGCGCACCTCTATCATCTGCCGCGCAGGTCAGACAAGAGAGTACGACAAGCAGACAACAGATGCGAGATAATGGATCAGAGAAAAATCACCAAATAACAGACAACAGGCACACAGGATGCAGAACAATGAAACGTGCCATGTATATAGGGCCTCACGCACCAGAAGACTGCTAGATTTGGGGTTTTAGCTACCCACGGACAGGTGGTAAGGGGTTCGGTCGGAGGAAACTAAGGTAATGAATAGCATTACTGTTAAGGTGCTGATGAAGAAAAAACGCCGGCACTAGTAGTGACGAGAACGAAGGTGAATTTTGAGTCGACTAAAAAATCTCTAAGGTGGTGAACGGCATTACAGTGAAGGTGCTTATGAAGGAAACGCGCCCAGCGCCAGTGGTGATGAGCGCAAAGGCCTGGGAGAGATATGCCAGCGACGTCCAGAGGCCCATTTCGATGCCGCAGCGGCGGACGGCGGGGTTGGAGAGGGCGGCCGGGAGCAGCGGAGAGAGCGCGAGTGCCGCGATGGCGAAGCGACCCAGACAGAACTGCAGCGGCCCTCCTGCGGCTTCCTCTGCTCCCTTGACAATGGTGGTGTTGGTAGCTGCGTGGGAGGGCGTGGGAGAAGGGAAAGAGACAGGGGAGGAACATGCTCTCAGTCGATCAGGACTTGCGTTGAGAGAATGGAGGACGCAAGGGATAACACCATTCGTGCATGGTCGCAAAACGGCAATGCTACTGCCAGTGACAGGCCGAACGTACCGTAGAGCATGGTGACGACGTTGAGGACGATCAGCCCGCCTGCTCGAGACGTAACCACCTTGGTGAAGGCTTCGGCAGCCCTCTCCATCAGCAGCGGCACCAATTCCACGAGGGAAAAAGGGTTATTGTCCTCTCCGTCCGTCACTTCGTCCTTCTCTGTGTCTTCCTTTACTCGTTCCTCCTCATGCGGTTTCACTCCCACGGCTATGGTAGAAGTTGCTTCTAGCGTCACGTACGGCTTCTCAGAGCCCTGAACTAGAGGGGTTTGAGAAGCATTTACTAAGAGCGGATCAGCATAATCATGATGCTGCTCTGCTTCTGGCGTGTTGACGGGTAATTCAGGTGATTCTCCAGCCTCGTTGGTGGAAGAAGCTTGTTTTTCTGATCGAGAACTTTCGATGCTGACGCGGCATTGGAAAATTCCGGTGTTTCTGAGAGTGCTCGTGGAGCTCCCAAGGCTTTTGCAACGAGACACGCGACTTGACGGGTCGAAGGCCGGAGGTCTTAACCGCGTGCATAATTTTCGTGTTTGCGTAACAAATCCGCATGGCTGCTGAGCAGCACCGGCTTTTACGGAGGAAATTCTGGAGTCATGACGTCTTGATGGACACGAGGGGAAGCCTATGCTGTCTACATGCTGCACTATTCGCAATCTTTTACTGAATTTCGTGCTTGATAGGGGCGGGCCAGAGAGAGCCATTGGAGGAGAAAAGAATAGCGTTATCCCAGACCTGTACGCGGTATCAGCTGATCCGTAACCTGCTATCCCTTGAGAAGATCGCACAACGCTGACGGTTGCATGCCACCTTAGAGCCTCAGCGTGTCAGCATTTGCGGTTATGACGGCTAGTGGCTTGCATAACCCGCTTTTATCTTCGGAGTCAATCACGCCTCGAATATGCATGAGCCAATTAACTCTACACCCGATGTGGCGACGTGTGATCTTCAACCACTTCCTACGAAAGTCCAAGGTTGAAGTGAAGTGGCCTGGGAAGGACGATTCAACTTTAGTGCCTTGGGTTCAGTTTCCGAGCTAAGCGAGGCAAGTAGCCGTTGCCAGGTTTTACATTCCCGAGGCGTCGGCTGGGCTTTGGTTTTGTATGGAGATTTTTATGGGCATCGCCTTGCCAGTTGTGTTGTAGGGGTGAGTGCGAGACGGAGAGTGAGCGCCGGTGGCTGGGTTCGCCTCGGGATTGTCGCTTCACGGAGCGAGAGGTCGCGCAGCGCATCAGCCAAGATCACTCCCTCCATTGAGCAGCGCAATAAAGGCTGTTGTACACGGAGTACGAGTGTACAGTGCACAGTGAGATACTAACTGGATTTTTTTTGCAAGTTGGTGTTTCTCCTGCAGTCGGAAAAAGTGTCAGCACGAATCCAGTCAGAGCGGAAACTCCCTCGTCGTAGTCACAATCGGCGGGAACGCCTGTTTTCAAACCCTTTTTCGGGGTACCAGAGATATTTCTCTGGCCTTCACTTCTTTCTTCCTTTCATTACCTCCTATTTCAACGCTATTACTATTCGACATGGCTCTGCATAGATGTGGCTATGCCTAGATGCGGCTAGGAAGTTTTCCAGATTTTGCGGGACGAACTAAGATAGTATCATTTTGCTCAGCCTGAGATTTGACTTCCGCTGGGAATCTTCCTGGTTGCTTCACGATGACTCTCTTCCTAACGGAAGAGGAGTTGCAAGCGGTGGAGGGCGATGTCAGGGCTGTTGCGCGGAAGGCGGAGGAGCAAATAGGCTCGCTCCTTCGTCAACTAGAGACGCACAAGGCGCAGGCGGACGCAGCGGAAATCAACGCGGAGCAGACGTGCTCGCTGATCGAGCAGAAGTACCTCGCGGTGACGGACGAGAACGCGCAGCTCGAACGCGAGAAGGGATTACTCACCGCGGATCTCGATCAGAAAGCCGCCGAACTTGCGGAAATTAAGGCGCAGGTCCATCGCCTGCAGCTGGAGGGGGTATGTCTCCCAGGCTCCTCGCATCCGTGAAGTTATTTTGAGCCGGTTCATTGTCACCTAAACTACGAATCGCGAAATAGTTACTATCCGGACGTTTCGGCCGGCTGCTATGGACTTTCAGGTCGTTTAAGTTTGTTTAATTGTTTATTCGATTTTGCAGATTCAGGGGGATGGCGAGAGGGAGCGGCTGAAAGCGGAGCTGGCGGAGGCGCAGACGAGCCGGCGGGACCTGGTGGACGTGATCGAGCGGAAGAACCTCGAGATTGACGAGAAGAACGCGTCGCTCAAGTCGTACCTGGACAAGATTGTGAGTCGGATGCCCTGATTCGAGCGGGAATTAGGACCTACGGCTGCATTCGACCAACTCTCGTGGCGCTTCGTGCGAAATTAAAACCTTCTGACACGTGCTGTGTGCGTACTGAAATCTTTCGAATGCCATTCTGTTCGAAATTGTCACGCATCAGGTCTCTCTGACCGATTCGCGGACTGAGTTGGAGGGACGGCTGAGGAAGGCTGAGGCAGAGGCGTCCCGCTGGAAGGCCGCCGTCAACCGCCATGTGCAGGTGCGTAGATCGAGTCCAATTCTTCCATGCGCGCGTATTTCTCATCCAGCAGCAATGCCCTATACAACCCATCCTCATCCACTCTTCGTCTCCCACCTCCTCCAGCTTTTCCACGAGTTTGGTCATCCTAGATTGCTGCCCTTGTCGCTTCTCGGTTACTCACCTCGTTGTCCCCCATGACCTCGGGAGAAGTTTTTTTTTGGAGCAGCACCTGGCGTGGCTGGTTGCGTTTGAAACGTTTCAAAGGTTCCTGCGCTCATGGTCGTTTGTTCTCCTCGTTTTGCCCCTGTGAGCGCACGAGAAGGAGATTCTGGCTGGGGCAGCACCTGGCGTGGCTGGCTGCTTTTGAGACGTTTCGAACGTTCCTGTGCTCATGGTCGTTTGTTCCCCACTTTTTTCTCCCTGTGAGCGCAGGAGAAGGAGATTCTGGCGCAGCACCTGGCGTGGCTGGCTGCGTTTGAGAGGTCTCAAGGCTGCTGCTCTCATGAATTTTCGTTTTCCCCCTCGTTTCCGTCCTTCGTTTTCCGCCGTGGCCGCAGGAAGGAGATTCTGGAGCAGCACTCGGCGTGGCTGGCTGCTTTTGGGTCGTTTCGAAGGTTCCTGTGCTCATGGTCGTTTGTTCCCCACTTTTTTCTCCCTGTGACTCTGACTGCAGGAAAAGGAGATACTGGAGCAGCACCTGGCGTGGCTGCGAGAGGACGTGGCGGGGAAGGCGGGCGCGCTGCAGGAGGAGAGGCGCGCGCGCGCGGAGGGCGAGGCGGAGCTGCGCAGCAAGCTGCTGGGCGCGGAGCATGAGCGCGACGACCTGCACGCTGCTGAGAGCCGCGCCCAGGCGCGCGTGGCGGAGCTGCAGGGGATGGTCGCGCAGCTGCAAAAGGTGGGCGGGTCAGCCTGTGTCACTTGTAAATTCTCTAGAGGATTCTTTTTACAATAGTTCAAAGTGACTGCTGAGAGCCGCGCCCAGGCGCACGTGGCAGAGCTGCAGGGGATGGTCGAGCAGATGCAGAAGGTGTGCCAACTTGTGTCACTTTTAAACATTCCTTTGAGAATTCTTAAAAGTGACTGCTGAGAGCCGAGCCCAGGCGCGCGTGGCGGAGCTACAGGCGATGGTCGCTCAGCTGCAAAAGGTGGGCGGGTCAACCGAACTGACTGCCAGAGAGAGAGGCTGCTCTGTTACTTGCTCTGCTTATATTCCCTTGACGTTTGTGGAGGAAATCCATTCGCGGCTGTTACTGGAGTGATAGTCGCTGTTCACTGGCATAACTCATGCTATTTTTTCCTGGGCCTGACCATCTGGTTCCTCTGCACTTATGATGTTTCTGTCTCCAGGAGGTGAAGAAGCGCGCCGAGGAGGAGGCGCTTCACGAAAGCCAGCTGGCGGCTGAATTAGAAACTGTGAGTGGTGCATTCGAGCTGGTGCTGGGGTCGAAGCTTTTGTGAATGCTGCTGCCGAAGCTGTTGTAGTGGGTGCTGTTGAAATCGATTCGTTAGTAGCGGTGTCTCTGTTTGCTTCTGCCTGCAGTTTGTGTATGTGTTGCCTCTTCTCAGCGTCCACACAAGTTCGCTCTAGCGTGCTGCTTCCAATGCTGTGTGCATGCCTCGCCCCTTCTCCAGCCTTTCTCCCATCACACACACACACACACACACACACACACACACACACACACACACACACACACACACACACACACACACACACACACACACACACACACACACACACACACACACACACACACACACACACACACACACACACACACACACACACACACACACACACACACACACACACACACACACACACCACACACACACACACACACACACACACACACACACACACACACACACACACACACACACACACACACACACACACACACACACACACACACACACACACACACACACACACACACACACACACACACACACACACACACACACACACACACACACACACACACACACACACACACACACACACACACACACACACACACACACACACACACACACACACACACACACACACACACACACACACACACACACACACACACACACACACACACACACACACACACACACACACACACACACACACACACACACCTTTCCCCCCTCTCGCCACACCAGGCGAAGAAGCTGGAGGAGCTGTACAAGGAGAGTGCAGCGGAGGCGGGTGAAAGGGCTGCGACTTTTGAGACTCAATCCCTTCCCCTCCCCAACACACACCCTCCCCTCTCTCCCCACCACACGCCAGGCGAAGAAGCTGGAGGAGCTGTACAAGGAGAGTGCAGCGGAGGCGGGTGAAAGGGCTGCGACTCTTGAGACACAACAACCCCCCCGGCCCCACTCCGCCACCCCTTTCAACACACACACTTCCCTCTCCCCCCACTCGCCACGCCAGGCGAAGAAGCTGGTGGAGCTGTACAAGGAAAGTGCAGCGGAGGCGGGTGAAAGGGCAGCAGATCTCAAGGGCGTTGTCAAATCTCTCGAGGTCAGTCGCAGGCCCGTTCATTTTTTAGGCGCCTCAAAAGCTGCGAGTAGTGAGACGATTTTTGAGGCACGTCAAAAGTCGTCTCAATACTCGCTGGCGGGTGAAAGGGCTGCAGGCCTCAAGGCCGTTGTCAAGTCTCTCGAGGCCAGTCAGTTGCATTGCATGCTAGCTCATTCACGAAGTTCTTATCTCATGCACACGGGTATGCATCCCGGCTTGGCCGTGTCCTTTTTGTGTTGACGTGTCAAGTCGGCTTAAAGCTGTATCTCTGTTCCGTGTCCTTCAGGGAGATACTTGAGTAAGACTAAAAGGGCACCTACTTCGTCTCTTTCTGTGTCTGCTCCCTTGACTTCTTCCTGTGACTGTCAGGATCATCTGAAGCAAGTGGAGGACGAGGGCGAGAGTCGGGTCAAGGCAGCAGAAGAGGCAGCACGGAAGCAGCAGCAGGAGCTGCAGAGGCGGTGTGAGGAGCTGCAGAAGAGCCTTGAGGAGGCGAACAAGAAGGCTGCTGCTGCCGCTGAGGCAGCTGCTGCAGCCGCAGTTGCTGGTGCTGGTGGCTTGGAGCTTGTGCCTGCTGCTGCCACCGCCGGCCCCATTCAGCCACTGTGAGTACTTTCACTGGGTTGCACAAGGGCAAAACGTAGGCAGCTGCTGGCAGTAGGGCAGCTGCTGGCAATAGAACAGCTGCTGGCGCTGGTGGCTTTTTGGAACTTGTGCCTGCTGCTCTCCCTGCCGCTGCTGGTCCCATTCAGCCTTTGTGAGTCCATTTTTTTATTTGCAGAAGCTGGAATGGGACTAGCGGTGGCAGGGAGGGCAGAGGGTACAAGGTAGTCGCCATAGAAGAGGGCTGGAATGTTCGGGGATTTTTGAGTCGACTCAAAGATCGACTTATCACACACAACCATAGCAGAGGGCTGGAATGTTCGGGAGTTTTTTAGTCGACTCATAAATCGACTTATCACACACAACCATAGCAGAGGGCTGGAATGTTCGGGGGTTTTTGAGTCGACTCAAAAATTGACTTATCACACACAGCCATAGCAGAGGGCTGGAATGTTCGGGGTTTTTTTCTGCTGCTCTGTTGTTCAGGTTCCAGGAGTGCTGCTGTTGGGGATGCTCATGTTGCATGGTCCGCCCCGTGTGTTCCTTTTTCTTTCTCTAATTCACAACTTCTGGCCTCCACCGCTCATTCATTCATCGTCCTTCCCCACCTCTCCCCCTCCCTCCCTCTTCCCCCCCCGGCCCCCCCAATTGCCTCACGAGTGCAGGGACAGGCAGCTGGCGGCGGTGCTGCATGGGGGCGGCAGTGTGCCGCCATCCCTGCCTCAGGGCGTCACAGGAGTGGCGCTCGCCACCTATCTCGTCAAGGATGGCTGGACGGTGGGTGAAGCTGCATGCTGCAGTCCAGAGGCCCTTGTGTTGCACTTTTGAGACCCTTGTTGTACTGTTGTGTGTGCATTTGTTTTTTTGTAGCTGCGGCCAACCCCGCGCTGCCTTGCACCTCCATGCTCGCCCTCGCACAGTCCTTGGTGTCAAGGAACCCGTGAAGAAACAGTCAGTAGTGTGTTCCTCTCAATCTGCCCCTGTGATGTTTCTCTCCGTCCGTGCATGTATGTATGTCCGTGTCCAGCTGGCAACCATGTCCGAGCAGTACCAGGAGCGATTCTCTCTGTCTTTTTTTTGAAGTTTCCGTCTCATTGCCTTTCCATGCCTGCCCGTCCGTGTGCAGATGGCAACGATGTACGAGAAGTATGAGGAGGCGGCAGATGCATGGCGCCATGAGAGGCAGCAGCGGCGGCAGGCAGAGACTCTTCTCAACAGGGTGAGTGAATCGCGTCTGTGTTGGGCTTGCCACTTTCGTATGCTCTGTATGGCACCCTCTTACTCTTGCACGCACCCCTTTGTCGTCTCCCTCCCACTCATCCAAGCAGATCCATGCACACACACACCCAAGCAGATCCATGCACACACTCACCCAAGCAGATCCATGCACACACTCACCCAAGCAGATCCATGCACACACTCACCCACGCAGATCCATGCACACACACACCCAAGCAGATCCATGCACACACTCACCCAAGCAGATCCATGCACACACTCACCCAAGCAGATCCATGCACACACTCACCCAAGCAGATCCATGCACACACTCACCCAAGCAGATCCATGCACACACTCACCCAAGCAGATCCATGCACACACTCACCCAAGCAGATCCATGCACACACTCACCCACGCAGATCCATGCACACACACACCCAAGCAGATCCATGCACACACTCACCCAAGCAGATCCATGCACACACTCACCCAAGCAGATCCATGCACACACACACCCAAGCAGATCCATGCACAAACTCACCCAAGCAGATCCATGCACACACTCACCCAAGCAGATCCATGCACACACTCACCCAAGCAGATCCATGCACACACTCACCCAAGCAGATCCATGCACACACTCACCCAAGCAGATCCATGCACACACTCACCCAAGCAGATCCATGCACACACTCACCCACGCAGATCCATGCACACACTCACCCAAGCAGATCCATGCACACACTCACCCAAGCAGATCCATGCACACACTCACCCAAGCAGATCCATGCACACACTCACCCAAGCAGATCCATGCACACACTCACCCAAGCAGATCCATGCACACACTCACCCAAGCAGATCCATGCACACACTCACCCAAGCAGATCCATGCACACACTCACCCACGCAGATCCATGCACACACACACCCAAGCAGATCCATGCACACACTCACCCAAGCAGATCCATGCACACACTCACCCAAGCAGATCCATGCACACACTCACCCAAGCAGATCCATGCACACACTCACCCAAGCAGATCCATGCACACACTCACCCAAGCAGATCCATGCACACACTCACCCAAGCAGATCCATGCACACACTCACCCACGCAGATCCATGCACACACTCACCCAAGCAGATCCATGCACACACTCACCCAAGCAGATCCATGCACACACTCACCCAAGCAGATCCATGCACACACTCACCCAAGCAGATCCATGCACACACATCACCCAAGCAGATCCATGCACACACTCACCCAAGCAGATCCATGCACACACTCACCCAAGCAGATCCATGCACACACTCACCCAAGCAGATCCATGCACACACTCACCCAAGCAGATCCATGCACACACTCACCCAAGCAGATCCATGCACACACTCACCCAAGCAGATCCATGCACACACTCACCCAAGCAGATCCATGCACACACTCACCCAAGCAGATCCATGCACACACTCACCCACGCAGATCCATGCACACACTCACCCAAGCAGATCCATGCACACACTCACCCAAGCAGATCCATGCACACACTCACCCAAGCAGATCCATGCACACACTCACCCAAGCAGATCCATGCACACACTCACCCAAGCAGATCCATGCACACACTCACCCAAGCAGATCCATGCACACACTCACCCACGCAGATCCATGCACACACTCACCCAAGCAGATCCATGCACACACTCACCCAAGCAGATCCATGCACACACTCACCCAAGCAGATCCATGCACACACTCACCCAAGCAGATCCATGCACACACTCACCCACGCAGATCCATGCACACACTCACCCAAGCAGATCCATGCACACACTCACCCACGCAGATCCATGCACACACTCACCCAAGCAGATCCATGCACACACTCACCCAAGCAGATCCATGCACACACTCACCCAAGCAGATCCATGCACACACTCACCCAAGCAGATCCATGCACACACTCACCCAAGCAGATCCATGCACACACTCACCCAAGCAGATCCATGCACACACTCACCCAAGCAGATCCATGCACACACTCACCCAAGCAGATCCATGCACACACTCACCCAAGCAGATCCATGCACACACTCACCCAAGCAGATCCATGCACACACTCACCCAAGCAGATCCATGCACACACTCACCCACGCAGATCCATGCACACACTCACCCAAGCAGATCCATGCACACACTCACCCAAGCAGATCCATGCACACACTCACCCAAGCAGATCCATGCACACACTCACCCAAGCAGATCCATGCACACACTCACCCAAGCAGATCCATGCACACACTCACCCAAGCAGATCCATGCACACACTCACCCAAGCAGATCCATGCACACACTCACCCACGCAGATCCATGCACACACTCACCCAAGCAGATCCATGCACACACTCACCCAAGCAGATCCATGCACACACTCACCCAAGCAGATCCATGCACACACTCACCCAAGCAGATCCATGCACACACTCACCCAAGCAGATCCATGCACACACTCACCCAAGCAGATCCATGCACACACTCACCCACGCAGATCCATGCACACACTCACCCAAGCAGATCCATGCACACACTCACCCAAGCAGATCCATGCACACACTCACCCAAGCAGATCCATGCACACACTCACCCAAGCAGATCCATGCACACACTCACCCACGCAGATCCATGCACACACTCACCCAAGCAGATCCATGCACACACTCACCCACGCAGATCCATGCACACACTCACCCAAGCAGATCCATGCACACACTCACCCAAGCAGATCCATGCACACACTCACCCAAGCAGATCCATGCACACACTCACCCAAGCAGATCCATGCACACACTCACCCAAGCAGATCCATGCACACACTCACCCAAGCAGATCCATGCACACACTCACCCAAGCAGATCCATGCACACACTCACCCAAGCAGATCCATGCACACACTCACCCAAGCAGATCCATGCACACACTCACCCAAGCAGATCCATGCACACACTCACCCAAGCAGATCCATGCACACACTCACCCACGCAGATCCATGCACACACTCACCCAAGCAGATCCATGCACACACTCACCCAAGCAGATCCATGCACACACTCACCCAAGCAGATCCATGCACACACTCACCCAAGCAGATCCATGCACACACTCACCCAAGCAGATCCATGCACACACTCACCCAAGCAGATCCATGCACACACTCACCCACCCACGCTCTCGCCCACCCACCTGCTCACCCGCCCCCTCACCATCCTTCTCATGCCCTTCCTCTCTCCTCCCCCTCCCCCCACACCCCCTTCCTTTCCCACCCTCACCCGCACATGTATGCGCGCAACAGGTGGTGAGGGAGATAGAGCAGAAGGCGGGCGAGGTGGTGGAGGAGCGTGAGCAGCATGCCCCCGCGTGTGATGCCATGAAGGACAACCCACCCTCCCACCCACTCTCCTCCCTTACCTACCCCACACCACATCTCCCCACAAAACGCACCAGGTGTTGAGGGAGATAGAGCAGAAGGCGGGCGAGGTGGTGGAGGAGCGTGAGCAGCATGCCCCGATGTATGACGTCATGCAGGACAACCCATTCTCCCACCCATTCTCCTCCTTTACCCCACACCCCCCCCTCCAAAACACAACAGGTGTTGAGGGAGATAGAGCAGAAGGCAGGAGTGGTGGTGGAGGAGCGTCAGCAGCACGCCCCCCCCGCGTATGATGTCATGCAGGACAACCCACCCTACTCTCCTCCCCTTACCCGACAACCCCCCCCCAAAACGCACCAGGTGTTGAGGGAGATAGAGCAGAAGGCGGGTGTGGTGCTGGAGGAGCGAGAGCAGCACGCCCCCCCCGCGTATGATGTCATGCAGGACAACCCACCCTACTCTCCTCCCCTTACCCGACAACCCCCCCCAAAACGCACCAGGTGTTGAGGGAGATAGAGCAGAAGGCGGGTGTGGTGCTGGAGGAGCGAGAGCAGCACGCGCGCATGGCCCGTGCATACGATGTCATGCAGGACAAGCTGGCTCTGGCGGCGGACCAGCAGGCTGCCGTGGAGGCATCTCTAGCTGAGTGCAGGGTGAGCAATCGCTTGTGGTACTCGAGTCAGGCAACAGGGAACTTCGAAAAGGGGGGATGGCCTGCGTGTATGATGTCATGCAGGACAAGCTGGCTCTGGCGGCGGACCAGCAGGCTGTTGTCGAAGCATCGCTTGCAGAGTGCTGCAGGGTGAGTTGGTCTCTGTGACTGTTGAGTGTAGCAGCAGCAGGAGCACGCGCGCTTCACAGTCAGTCAACAGCTGTGAATCTGTCTCAGTCCTCAGAAGAGAAGGTGCGGGCTGTTACAACATTGATCACATGGTACGGGCTGGCGTCCACTCTACACAGCTGCGGCAATCAATGTTGTTTCCCTGCATTGTTTGCTTGTGACATTTCACCACATTCCCAACGTCTGTCTCCCGCCATTTATCCATCATGTGTGGATGCATCAGGCGGAGCTGCGTGCGAGGGAGAGGGATGTGAGCCTGCTGTCCACCGATGTGGCGGATCTGCAGAGTCAGGTGCGGTGGAGTGGGGGATGGGTGGGGAGTGGCGGGTGGGTGGGTGGGTGGGTCGAGTTTTGAGGGGCTTCAAAAGGGGAGAGGGACGTGAGCCTGCTGTCCACCGATGTGGCGGATCTGCAGAGCCAGGTGCGGTGGAGTGGGGGATGGGGAGTGGGGGATGGGTAGGTGGGTCGAGCTTTGAGGCGCCTCAAAAGGTGTGCAAGGGAGAGGGACGTGAGCCTTCTTTCCACTGATGTCGCCGACCTGCAGAGCCAGGTGCAGTGGGTGTGGGGGTTGGTGGGTGGTAGAAGAAGACATCTTCCATTTTCTGCTGCATCTTTCCCCCTAAGCCTTTCTTGTTTCCACCCCTGCCAGGTGACTGTGCTCCTAAAGGAGCTGAGGGATGTGAGCATGCAGCGTGCTAATAACGAAGCCACTGCTCCGCCCACCCCGCCGCGACCCTCCTCGTCAGACTTTGTCTCGGTTGAGCAGGTAAGAAGGGAGGGTTTGAATCGGGTAAATAAGGAATTCATCCCCTGTTCTGTTCATCACCAGCAGCGCAGTGTCGCTGTTACACTCGCCCTGATTTCTCTCGAGCCCCCTTCTCCCTCCATGTGCTTCAGCAGCTGACCATCACGGATATCATATCAGGCCCCTGGTGCAAGCAAACACAGTTCTTTGTTGCACCCTGCAACAGCTCAGTTGTCCTGTTATGACGGCCCTGACTGCCCTCTAACCCCTTCCTGCCCTGCTCCTCCTATCTGCAGCTGACCATCACGGACATTGGGGGTCTGGTGCAGGCCAACACGTCGCTCCGCCACGCCCTGCTTCCGAATACCCCAGTTACAATCACTGTTAAACACTCTCGAACCCCCCTCCCCTGCTCCCTCTACCCATCTGTACAGCTGACCATCACGGACATTGGGGGTCTGGTGCAGGCCAACACGTCGCTCCGCCACGCCCTGCGGAAGCTGCAGGACGACTACAGCACCCTGGAACCGCGGGTCAAGGTACGCTGTGTGTCTGAACTTGCTGTGTGTCAGTTGTCATGTCAGTTGACTCGTGAGCTGACGTTGAAGTCACTTCAGGCAAACATGTCGCTCCCCCACGCTCTGAGGAAGCTGCAGGACGACTACAGCACCCTGGAGCCACGCATCAAGGTGCGTCGTCGTGTGACGCAACAGAAGGATTTTGGCTTGTTCTTTTGGGAAGAGAATGTTGCCTTGTGTGTTTACTGTGTTACAGCCCATGAGAGAGAGGTAAGTAACATTCTTCATTTGGTTCTGCCTCGATCAGCGCAACGCAGTCTAGTTCACATGCTTCTTGCCTTTGCGAGCCCCAAATGCGCTCATTCCGTGCTTGTGCTTGCGTGTGAGCAGGCTCGGTTTGAGGAGGAGTTGGAGAGGCGGGCTGCAGCAAACGCCAAGGAGGTGGAGCGGGTGGTGGGCATGTTCAAGGAGCAGGAGGAGCTGGCACAGCGACACAAGGCTGCTGTGAGTACTCCACCTCTTGCGCTCTACTTGTTAATCTTAGGCCTGTTGAGGCACCCCAAAAGAACGCCAAGGAGGTGGAGCGGGTGGTGGGCATGCTCAAGGAGCAGGAGGAGCTGGCGCAGAGGCACAAGGCTGCCGTGAGTGCTCCGTCTCTTGCACCCTACTTGTTCCTCGTATGTCTCTTGAGGTGCCTCAAGAGTGCCAAGGAGGTGGAGCGGGTGGTGGGCATGTACAAGGAGCAGGAGGAGCTGGCGCAGAGGCACAAGGCTGCCGGGTGTGCTCCGCGCCTTGCCCTTTTTTGTCCTTTTCAGGCCTTCACTGTCATGTTGTCCCTCTGCTCACGCTCCACCTTTTTGTTGCCGTGTTGACTCGCCGCCCTGTTTTCCTGGTTCCATTTCCCCCTCACCACCTCCTACTCCCCCCTCCCCTCGATCGACCTCCTCCAACCCCTCACCCCACCAGCACGACATGTTCAAGATGCTGTACGACGAGCAGCAGCAGCGCATGCGGGCCATGGCATCAGGCACTGCTGCTGCTGCCCCCGGTGCTGCCGGTTCTCCAGCAGCCAAGGGAACGCCCGCCGTGCCCATGCTCTCCTCCCCTCCACCTGATGGTGAGTTCAGTTGAGCGATGGTGAGTGGAGTCAGAGTTGTACGACGAGCAGCAGCAGCACATGAGGGCCATGGCATCAGGCACTGCAGCAGCTGCCCTGGGTGCTGCGGATTCTCCGGCAGCCAAGGGAGCGCTTGCCGTGCCCATGCTCTCCTCCCCCCCACCTGATGGTGAGTTGATTCGTGTGAGGCGAGTGGTAGTGAGTCGAGTGATGGCATCTCCCTATTCAGTCCCATAAGCGATTGCGCCTTTTCCCATAAGTGGATATTTTGGATGGAGTACTACCATCATCACTTGCTGTATGGCCAAGCAGGTTCTGTTAAGTAGCTGCTGTTCCATTCCAATCACTGTTCAATATGCTGCATTGGGCTAAAGGTGTGCCACCCTTCATGTATGCTTCATCTCTGCTTCTCTTTGCCTTTTCTTCTGACGCTGCCTGCCCTCTTTTCTGCCGCTGCCTGCCCTCGTTTCTGCCGCTGTCTGTCCTCGTCTCTACCCTCGTGCTCATCCCCCTCGATGGCAGGTCCGGACTACAAGACTCTCTACACAGCAACGCAGGTACCCCACACCACAGCCCAGCCCATCATCTCACTCTCCTGCTTCCTTGTCTCGGTGTCTCTGCCCCCCTCCCTCCGTTCCTCATTGTTCTAGACATGCTTTTTCCGAAGTTCTTTGCGCATACCGAGGGAATGTTTGAATGCTTCTGCTGGATGAACATTCTACTCCCTCACTTTCTGCCTTGGCTCCCTCACTTTCTGCCTTGGCTCCCTCACTTTCTGCCTTGGCTCCCTCACTTTTTGCCTTGGCTCCCTCACTTTCTGCCTTGGCTCCCTCACTTTCTGCCTTGGCTCCCTCACTTTCTGCCTTGGCTCCCTCACTTTCTGCCTTGGCTCGCGATTCTTTCTTCTGACCACTTTGTGTTTGATGTTTTTCCATGTGTTTCTTACTGTCCTTCATGTGATGCCACCATATCATTCCACGACACCACCACGCCACCATGCCACCATCCGGGCGTGCATGGGAGCAGGAGGAGCTGGAGAGGCTGCGTCAGGACCGCAAGCAGCACATGGACGAACTGCAGGAGGCCCTTGATGCTGCCAGGTGGGGTTCGCACTTCACCACACCACCATGCCATCACACCATCACACGCTGCCATACCAGCACTCCCCCGTGCTGCCATTGCACCATGCAACCACGCACCTCACACAAGCAGCACATGGACGAATTGCAGGAGGCTCTCGATGCTGCCAGGTGGGGACTGCATTGACTCCTTCTAGGAAGCTTAGGAGGTGCGTGTGTCACGGTAGTGCCCCCGCTAGGTGTGACACTGAGCATCCAATCGCCACTAGCTGTAGAGACATTGGCACTAGCACCCAATTGCCACAGTCTCACACTAGCGTTGGCACAAGCACCTAGTTGTGTCTAGTCTGGTAACGTCTCGGCTAGTAGTGCTTGTGCCAACGCTTTCTGATACCTTTGGTGTTTGTGTAATGTGCATGCGTGTCGCATGTTTGTGTGTGTGTGGGTGCATGCGTGCATGTGTGCTTGGGTGCACTGTGCATGCATGCATGGTTGGATGCTGCATGGATGCGTGTGTTGGTGCGTGCACAATCACAGGAAGGTGGCGAGTGAGTCGCGAATGGAGCGCATGCGGGCCGAGGCAGAGGCGCAGTTCACCAAGCAGCAGGCAGAGGCTCTCGAGAAGACACTGGACGAGGAGGTGAGACGTGGTTTCATGGGACGGAGGGATGGCGATAGGAGGGCGTCGCTGAGTGATTGTGATAGTGATTTTGATCGTGATTCTGATTGGTGTGTTTGTGAAGTACTGCTTCAGCATTATTTGAGTGCAACAATACTGCGGTAGGGCTATAATCTAATGACTGAGTGCTTCCTCATCCTCGCTTCCTCCCCTCCCTACCCTTCTTCCCGCTCTCCCCCCCGCAGCGCAAGGTGAAAGATGCAGCAGTGGCACGCAGCAGTGAGTTCGCAGCGTCGGTGACGGCGCACCAGAGGCAGCTGCGGGATGCTGAGAGGCTGCTCGCTGCCGCTGAGGAAAAGGCTACCCGTGCAACTATTGAGGTGAGAGAATGCTGTGTCTGAGTTTGCACTGCTATGTGCTTGATTTGATTGTGGGGGGGGGGAGGGTGGGGGGGTTCTGTGTGGCCCCCTTTCCACAGGCATGTGATTTTCTGAGTCCTCGCAAATTGTCAGTGGTAATGAGAGAACTTTTGAGAATTCTCAAAAGTTCAATCTGAGTCCTCGCAAAATTCATCTGGTGTGATGAGAGGAGAGCCTGCTGGCCGCAGCAGAGTCCAGAGGCAGTGGTAGTGGAGGGGGGCAGGTGCTTGTTCAGCCTAATTTATACGAATCTCTTTGCCTCTCTCCCTGCAGGCATCAGTGTTGGAGCGAGAGAAGGCACTCCTGGCAGCAGCAGAGGAGCGGGCGCCAGCGGAGGCGGGGAGTGCGCTGGAGAGCTGTTCCGTCTTTCTTATATCATATACGCATCTCTGTGCCCTTTTCTCTGCAGGCATCGGTGTTGGAGCGAGAGAAGGCTCTGCTTGCGGCAGCAGAGGAGAGGGCGACAGCGGAGGCGGGGAGTGCATTGGAGAGGATGCACCGCGTGCAGGCGGCTCACGACTCACTGGAGAGCACCCAGGCTGCCCGCGAGGCCATGTGGGCCGCTGAGAGGAAGCGGCTTGAAGACTCCATTGACCGCATGCAGGTGGGCGTTGACTGAGTTGACTTGGTTGACTTGGTTGACCTGGTTGACTAGGTTGACTCGGTTGGAGAGGATGCACCGCGTGCAGGCGGCTCACGACTCACTTGAGAGCACCCAGGCTGCCCGCGAAACCACATGGGCCGCTGAGAGGAAGCGGCTTGAGGGTTCGTTGACCGCATGCAGGTGGGCGTTGACTGACCGCATGCAGGTGGGCGTTGACTCGCTCTGGGTTGTCTGATGTTGCTGGGGTGACCTTCGGTTGAGCTGGTTGTGTTTATTTGGGTAGTTAACTCCCACTGCCAGCCCCCTCCCTGCCCTGGTTGGTTAACTTCAGAGACAGGGCGGCAGCAAACCAAGTTCTTGAGAATTCTCTAAACTCACTCCCATCCCTGTGCTCCTCCCCTCCCTCCCTGCAGCGCGAGTGGGCGGAGGCCAGTCGAGCGCTGGAGGCAGAGAGGGACCACTCGCGGCACGGCACCAGGTGGAAGGCAGAGACAGGGCAGCAGCGGATGCAGAGGCAAAGCTGAGTGCAGCGTGGAAGGACGTGGAGCAACTCAAGCAGCAGCTCAGCGCTGCTGTTACCAGTGGAGGCCTGGGACAAGGGAACCTCCCTCCGTCTCTCATCTCTCATCTCCCATCTCCTCTCTCTACCCCATGCGAATCCCGTGCTCCTCCCCTCCCGCAGCGCGAGTGGGCAGAGGCCAGTCGCGCCCTGGAAGCCGAGAGGGACCACTCGCGACACCTGGTGGAGGCGAGGGACAGGGCAGCAGCGGATGCAGAGGCAAAGCTGAGTGCCGCATGGAAGGACGTGGAGCAGCTCAAGCAGCAGCTCAGCGCTGCTGTCACCAAGGCTAAGACTGCTGAGGCGCGGTGTGAGGAGCTGCAGGCAGGTGTGAAGCGGTTGGAGGCGGTGGCAGCTGCTGCTGTTGCTGGCGGTGCGGGGGGAGGTGTGGGAGGGAGGAGTCTGAGATCTGCTTCGGTGAGAGATGCGGCTGCTGCTGCTGTGGCTGCTGCTGCTAGTCCTACTGCCGGTGGTGGTTGTGGCGAAGCTGCTGCTGGGGCAACTGGGGAAGCTGGGGCAGCTGGGGCAGCTGGTGGTGCTGGTGCTGGTACAGCTGGTGGTGGTGGGAAGGATGGGGAGGGTATGGAGGAGGAGGAGGTGGAGGAGCGGTTGCACAAGGCAGAGGAGGAGGTGCAGCGGCTCAAGGAGGAGCTGGAGGCCTCCCAGGGGTACCTGGCTCAGGTGCGTGCTTGGGTTTTGAGTCGACTCAAAACAGTGGTTGCACAAGGCAGAGGAGGAGGTGCAGAGGCTAAAGGAGGGGCTGGAAGCTTTCCAGGGGTACCTGGCTCAGGTGAGAATGCACAGCTCGCATTTGGTGTCTTGTTGGGATTTTGTCAGGGTTTTAGTGTTACATGTCCATTTCCCGCTGCCTTGCCTTTGTCGCGTTAGCCATTCTGTGCGTGTTGTTATTCCCACCCGCCCCCTCTGCCTCCGACATCCCACTCCATCTCTGCCTTTTGTCCACCACGTTGCTCCACCCGCTACCGATGAGTCGATTTTTTAGTCGACTCGACACCATTTCTGACTTTTATCCACCACGCTGCTCCACCCGCTACCAGTACAAGGCGATAGGGAAGGCCAACGAGGAGGCACTAGAGCGCATGATGCAGCAGCACAGCGCGTTCAAGGAGGAGGCTGAGAAGGACTGTGCCATGTGTGTTTAGAGAAATGTTTCGTTCCCTCAAAACTACCTCCGACTCTCCACTCCCTCCCTCTCCCTTTCATGCTCTACCCGCTACGCTACCAGTACAAGGCAATTGGAAAGGCGAACGAGGAGGCACTGGAGCGCATGATGCAGCAGCACAGTGCGTTCAAGGAGGAGGCTGAGAAGGAGCGAGCTGCAGCAGCGGCAGCAGCGGAGGAGCTGAGGGGACGGGTGAAGGCGGCAGAGAAGGGCTGTGCCGTTTGTATGTTTAGACGATGCCTTAGGTGCCTCAAAACTGTGTCTCACTCCCCACTCCTTCTCCCTTCCACCCCCTACCCATGACCAGTACAAGGCAATAGGAAAGGCCAATGAGGAGGCACTAGAGCGCATGATGCAGCAGCACAGCGCGTTCAAGGAGGAGGCTGAGAAGGAGCGAGCTGCAGCAGCGGCAGCAGCGGAGGAGCTGAGGGGGCGGGTGAGGGAGGCAGAGAAGCGGGCGGCAGATGCTGCGGCGGCGGCCACGGGTCTGACGGAGGAGCATGAGAGGGCGTTTGCTGATGTCAGCAAGAAGCTGGAGGCGGCTGCTGTGGAGAGAGACGCCTTCAGGTGGGTGGAGTGCAGTGGGGTGGAATGAGGTGGAGTGCGGTGGGATGGGATGGTGTGGGGTGTTTGTGAATTTGTAGCAACAGCTTGCTGCGGCGGCGGCAACAGGGCTGACGGAGGAGCATGAGAGGGCGTCTGCTGATGTCAGCCGCAAGCTGGAGGCGGCTGCTGTGGAACGGGACGCCTTCAGGTGGGTAGAGTGTTGTGGAATGGGGTCGGATGCGGTGGGGTTTGGTGGAGTCGGATGTGGTGGGGTGTTTTTTAGGTTTCACAAAAAACAGTGGCGAGGGTGGAGGAGACAGAGTGGCGGGTGGAGTCAGGGGCAAAGGAGGCATCGGAGATGCGTTTTGAGTCGACTCAAAATACCCCTGCCTGCCCTGCTTCCTGACTCTGCCCGTATGTCCTGTGTGGTTGTCTCTATCGGTGTGCCCTGTGTGTGCAGGGCGAGGGTGGAGGAGATAGAGTGGCGGGTGGAGTCAGAGGCAAAGGAGGCATCGGAGATGCGGCAGAAGTGGAGGGAGGCGCAGACCAACTACGAGCGACAGGTGGGTGCTGCCCCCCCCAAACGCCTTTGCATTCCGTTCAGAAAGCTTGCAATTGCAACTCTTCCGTCCCGGCCCCCTTTTCTCCCCACAACCCTCCCCCCCACTCCCCCCACCCACCCACCGACCTCCAACCTCCCCTGATCTCTCCCTCTGCGGCTCCTCTCGCCTCCCCATCCTGCCCCTGCTGCTCCCAGGTCGTGCTGCAAGCAGACACCATCTGCCAGCTGGACGGCGTGAGTCAGACGCTGAACGCCGCCCAGGCGGCGCAGAGGGAGTGGCGCAGCAAGGCAGAAAAGGCCGAAGCTGAGCTCGCCTCCCTGCGAGCCGAGTGGGAGACGGTCAAGGGGGGGCTGGAGGCCGCACGGGCTGCTGCTGAAGGGAAAGCAAAGGAGGTACCTCAACCCTCCCACATCCCCCTCCCCGCTCCTCTCTGCCCCCCTTCCCGCCCATCTGTCACCCCCCCCCCCCCCACCCCACCAGGTTGTGCTGCAAGCAGACACCATCCGCCAGCTGGACGGCGTGAGTCAGACGCTGAACGCCGCCCAGGCGGGGCAGAGGGAGTGGCGCAGCAAGGCAGAGAAGGCCGAAGCAGAGCTCGCCTCCCTGCGAGCCGAGTGGGAGACGGTCAAGGGGGGGCTGGAGGCCGCACGGGCTGCTGCTGAAGGGAAAGCAAAGGAGGTAGAGGCTCAGAACGTGATTTTGCTGGATCGACTCGAGGCACTGCGTGTGGGGACGCCAGGCAAGGCGGGTGGAATTGCTTCGCCTGGTGTGGGGAGGAGGAGATCGGCTGCTTCCCCGTCGCCGGGTAAGGCGGGTGGGGCAGTGGGGGGGGCAGGAGGAGCCGGTGGGGGAGCGGGAGAAGGAGAAGGAGGGGCAGCGGCAGCAGGAGCGGAAGGGGAAGGGGAAGGGGAAGGGGGGATGGGGGAAGATGGAGGGCTGGCAGAGCTGCAGGAGGTGGTGCGGTTCCTGCGGCGCTCCAAGGAAGCTTCCGAGATGGAGTTGGCTCTGCTGAAGCAGGAGCGGCTGCGGCTGACAAAACAGATAGAAGCAGCAGAGAGAGAGGCGCAGGAGGCACAGCAGCAGCTGAGAGAAGCGCGGGCGCGGGGGGCTGCGACGGCGCAATCTGAGGGGGAGTTTGCGGCGCTGAAAGCCCAAGTGGCTCAGGTGAATCTGCTGAGAGAGAGCAATGTGATGCTGAGGGATGAGAGCCAGCGGAACTTTGCGGATGCTGGGGAGTGGAGGGAGAAGGCGCGGCAGGCGCAGCAGCAGGTGGGGCCGCTGCAGGCTGCGGTGCAGAGGAGGGAGGCGGAGGTGGCTGCGGGGAAGAGGGAGGTGGAGAGTGCGCGGGAGGAGGCGGGGCGGTGGCAGCGGCGCGTGCAGCAGCTGCTGGAGAAGTACAAGGCGATTGACGTGGAGGAGTATCAACGGCTGCAGGACCAGCTGCAGGTCAAAGAGGTGAGACAGACAGGATTCTAGCACTAGGATTATGGGGCTAGGGTTTATAGCTATGTGGTTGCAGCTTGCAGCAGCTGTTGGAGAAGTACAACTGCAGGCGAGAGAGGTGCGAGAGACAGGGTTCGGGGGCTAGAGTTCTGGGGCTAGGGTTCTGGGGCTAGGGTTCTGGGGCTAGGGTTCTGGGGCTAGGGTTCTGGGGCTAGGGTTCTGGGGCTAGGGTTCTGGGGCTAGGGTTCTGGGGCTAGGGTTCTGGGTTTCACATGTTTGGGGCAAGGGAGGAGTTGGAGCAGCAGCGGCTTTAGCTGAACAAGGCGATTGACATGGATGAGTAACAGCGGTTCCAGGTCCAGCTGCAGGTGAAAGATGAAAGCGGTGAGGTGGGGGCTTGGGAGAGTCTGGGGTGGCGAAAGCTGTTTCTCTCCTGTTAGTCCTGTGGTCTCTTCGTGACTGGCTGGTTGACTGGCTGTCTGAATGTCATGTCTTGTCCCGAGCAGAAGCAAGCGGAGCAGTTGGAGCAGGAACTCTCAGAGGCGAAAAGTGCCCTGGCAGCAGCAAAGGCGGCAGCTGAGGCAGCAGAAAAGGACAAGGAGGCCGAGAAGAAGCGGGCGGCTGCTGAGCTGGCGGGGCTGGAGGCGCAGCGGGCGGCACTGGCAGCAGAGAAGGAGAAGGTGGAGAAGGAGCGGACGGCGGGAGGGGAGGAGCTGAAGAAGCAACTCGACGCAGCAAAAGAAAACGAGGTGAGTAGGGTGGGGAGGAGAGTGGGCTGAGGGGAGTGCAGGGAAGAAAGTGGGGGTAGCGGTGGTAGAGAAGGAGAAGCTAGATATGGAGCGAACGGCGGGAGGGGAGGAGTTGAGGAAGCAACTGGAAGCGGCGAAAGAGAACGAGGTGAGTCTTGGGAGGTCTCAAAGGTGCAGATTGCAGAGGCAGCGGGCGGCACTGGTGGCAGAGAAGGAGAAGCTGGAGAAGGAGCGGACGGCAGGAGGGGAGGAGCTGAGGAATCAGCTGGATGCAGCAAAGGAAAACGAGGTGAGTGGGGTGGCGGAGGAAAGAGGGCGGCAGAGCAGGAGAAGCTGGAGAAGGAGAGGACGGTGGGAGGGGAGGAGCTGAGAAAGCAGGTGGAGGCTGCGAATGAAAACGAGGTGTGCAAGGGAGGGAGGAGACTGGGGGGTGTGGGTTGTGGGTGGAATCGTGAGAAGTTGAGAGTGGGAGAGGAGAGCGGGAAGAGGGCAGATGCAGATATGCGTATGAAACTCGTAAGCGTTTTTCTGTGTTTCCTTCTCGTTTTTTCTGTTATGTTAACCATTTCTATGTATCTGTTGCAACTTCGTTTCTCTGTCTTGTGCGTGTGGAATGTGCGTGTGGGGTGTGGTGTGTGGTGGGATGGGGTGGGGTGTATGCTGTGCTGGGTGCGGTTGTGCGGTATGTGGGGTGGGGTGGTGCGGTTTGTACTGTGCATGTGGTGGGGGTGCATGGCAGGCAAAGCACAAGACTGAGTTTGCCAAGCTCAGGAACACAGCCATCAAATTCAAGGTGCGCATTCCTTGTCTCCATATCCTGAAATTGCCAGGTTCTGGAAATTTGTGTCATAATTTAGGATGTCTCGCTTTCCGATGGTGGCCCTGCTTGTTTGAAAGCGAGTCATCCTAAACCCTGAAACGGATTCACAGAACTTGGTAATTCTAGGGCGGTTTTAGAGCAGGTCTAGAGTGTATTCAGGGTCTAGGTGCAGGTTGAGAGTCAATATTCAGAAGGCTCAGTTCTCAGCATCTGATGTTTGTGCCTCTTTGTGTGTCTGTCTGTGTCTGTTGCAGGGTATATTTGAGAATTCTCAGAAATACCCTGCAACTTCAGTTCTCAGCACGTGATTGAAGAAAGGTTTTGAGACGTCTCAAAACCCTTCTTCAATCACGTTGCAGGGTATTTTTGAGAATTCTCAGAAATACCCTGCAACTTCAGTTCTCAGCATCTGATGTTTGTGCCTGTTTGTGTGTATGTCTGTCTGACCCTTTTCGGCATGGCAGCGCAATGGCGAGCAGCTGAGCAAGGAGAAGGAGGAGCTGCGGCAGGACCCTTACGAGTAGGAGCTTATACTCGTATCGTAGGCACTTCCCTGTTACCATACCATCTGACCTGTGCGTTTGTCCGTCTGTCCGCCTCTCTTTTCCTTCCCATCATGGCAGCGCAACGGCGAGCAGCTGAGCAAGGAGAAGGAGGAGCTGCGGCAGGCCAAGGAGCAGCAGAGCAAGGAGGCAGAAGCAGCAAAAACCAAGGCCGTAGAGCTCGAAAAACGCATCGCCGACCTCGAAAAGAAGCTCCAGACCGCCTCTGAGGCGTCTCAAAAGCGAGTGGCTGATTTGGAGAAGAGGCTTCAGGAGCAGACGGCAGTGGGTGCAGCAGCCAGGAAGGCGGAGGAGGGGAAGAGTGCGGCGGAGGCAGCTTCTGGGAAGCAGCAGGCGGCGGTGGCAGAGGGGATTCTGAACTCCCGGATTCAGGTAAGGCCTCCGTTCAGATAGAACCCCAAGCCATGTGGGGGAGGCTTGAGTTACATGATTGGTAAACATGAGACATTAGCTACAGCCTGAAATCCCCCCCCCTTCTTTTTTTCTTTCTTCTCATTTCTTTTCTTTTCTGTTGAAGTGGTTCTTGAATACGGCGACTCAAGACGGAGATCCGATTGTTAATCCGTTTCTTTCCCTGGCTGTCTCTTCCTTGCTGCTTCTCGGCATGTTGCCGTTCTCCCCGGGGGGTGGTGCAGTTGCTGCAGAGGCAGCTGGCAGCAGAGAAGGAGAGGCGCACCAAGAACCTCAAGAGCATTGTGGACTCGTTTCAGCGCGCCAAGGAGGTGGGCATGGGATCAGGGATGGTTGGGACTGGTGGGATTGGGTGGGGTTGGGGTTGGGGTTGGGGTTGGGGTTGGGGTTGGGGTTGGGGTTGGGGTTGGGGGCGCTAGGTGGGATCGGGTGGGGTTGGATGGAGTTGTGTTTTTTGGAACGGAACCCGGTGGGACCAAGAACCTCAAGAGCATTGCCGACTCAATTCGGCGCACCAAGGTGGTGAGAATGGGAGCAGGGAAGGGGAGGGGCTGGGATGGTATGGTGGGGCTGGGTGGGATGGGGTGGGATTGGATGGGGTTGGGTTTGGAGGAACGGAACCCGGTGGGACCAAGAACCTCAAGAGCATTGCCGACTCAATTCGGCGCACCAAGGAGGTGAGAATGGGAGCAGGGAAGGGGAGGGGCTGGGATGGTATGGTGGGGCTGGGTGGGATGGGGTGGGATTGGATGGGGTTGGGTTTGGAGGAACGGAACCCGGTGGGACCAAGAACCTCAAGAGCATTGCCGACTCAATTCGGCGCACCAAGGAGGTGAGAATGGGAGCAGGGAAGGGGAGGGGCTGGGATGGTATGGTGGGGCTGGGTGGGATGGGGTGGGATTGGATGGGGTTGGGTTTGGAGGAACGGAACCCGGTGGGACCAAGAACCTCAAGAGCATTGCCGACTCAATTCGGCGCACCAAGGAGGTGCTGCTGGGTGCAGAGACAGGGCGGGGTTGGTTTTGGGGTGGTGGGGCTGGGTGGGGCTGAGTGGGATGGTGGGTAGCGGGTGAGGTGGGATGGAGCTTGGTGGGACCGAGAACCTCACGAGCATTGCCGACTCATTTCAGCACGCCAAGGAGGGTAATGCTCTTGAGATTCTCGGTCCACAATGCTCTTGAGCATTGCCGACTCGTTTCAGCGCGCCAAGGAGGTTCTGCTGGGAGGAGAGGGCAGGGTGGATGGGTGGGTTGGGCAGTGAGTGGGTGGGTGTGAATCACAAGCCAAAGTTCGCACACTCAATTCAGAGGCTTTAAGGGGTACCTGACACATGCCTACCTGAGATGGCAGTGTCCGAGACTGGATCAAGCAGCAGAGCCAACTGCCACACGTGCCATCTTTCTTGCCCCCTCACACCTCCCTCCTCTCCCCCTGTTGCGCTGTGTGTGCGCAGAGCTATGAGACCATCTCTGTGAGGGTGGTGGCAGTGGAAGATTGGATCAAGCAGCAACGCCAGGTACCATACGTGTGCCCCGTCTCCCCTCGACCGCCCCTCTCAGTCCCTCTCTTCTCTTCCCCTTCGTTTTCCTCCTCCTTTTTCTTCCCTCCACGCACTCTCTCCCTTTTCGTTTATTGATTTCATTGGCGACTCTTGAGTCGAGTAAGAGAGCGTTTACCATTCACGCGCTCTCAGCCCTTGCATTTTTTGTCTCCTTCTTGCCTTACTGTCACGTGCCAGTACACACACACACACACACACTCGTTTTACTTCCAACTTGCACCCCTCTATCCGCCCAGGGCAAGGAGGGGGCGTTTGAGGAGCCAGCAGTGGTATCAGAGCTGAGGGCAGCATCGCAGGAGTACGACGCTGTCTTTGGAGCCATGCAGAAAACCGCAGAGGCTGGTGGTGTCGTTCCTCCTCCTACCGCTGCTGCTGCTGCTGCTGCTGTTGCTGCTGCTGCTGCTGTTGCTGCTGCTGCTGCTTCTGTGCCTGCCACTGTTGCTCCTCCTGCTGCTCCTACGACTGTTCCTGCTACTGCTCCTGCAGCGTCTGCTGCTCCTGTTGCGGCTCTTCCTGCCGCTGTGGTCTCAGTTGCGCCCTCTGCTGCTCCTGCTGCCGCTGCTCCAGTCCCTGCTGTCCCTGCTGCCGCTGGTGATGCAGGCGTTCCCGTGGCCGCCCCAGGTGTTGCTGAGGCGAAGGTTGCAGGAGCAATGGAGGTGGAGGGGGTAGCTAGTGGGGTGAGTGGGGCAGCTGGTGGGGTGAGTGGGGCAGAGGAGAAGGGGAAGAGGAAGAGGGAGGAGGAGGATGATGCAGTTATGAAAGAGGAGGGCATTGAGGAAGGGGAGGTGAAGGGTCTTGTGGAGAAAAAGGCTCGGCCTCTGGACACCACCCCTGTGACTTTTGAGTCGACTCAAAAGCGGCCTCTGGACACCACCCCTGTCACTGCTGCTGCTCCTGCCACTGCTGCTGCTGTTGCCACCACTGCTGCTGCTGCTCCTGCTCCTCCTGCTGCTGCTGGTGCCCCTACATCTCCTCTCCGTTCTGCTGGTACGGCGGCTGCTACCACTGCTGCTGCTGCCGCTGCACCCCGCTTTGCCAGTGATCCCAGCAAGCTGCGAGCCATGCTCATGCAATCGCTGGCTCGTGCTAAGGCTGCTGCCCCTGCTGCTGCCACTGCTTCCGCCGCTGCTCCTGCTGCTGATGCTGCTGCACCGACAACAGCAGTTACAGCAGCTGCTGTTCCTGCTGCTGCTGCTGCTGCTGCTACTCCTGCTGCTGCAACTGCTCCTGGGGCAGGTGCTGTTGCTCCTTCCGCTGCTACTCCCTCTGCTGCTGCTCCAGCTGCTGTGGAGGCGGAAGGAGAGGGGGACGGCGGTGAGGAAGGTGACGATGGGGGGGATGGGGGAGAAGGGGCAGCGGGGTCTGCTGCTGGTGTAGCTGGGCGAGGGGGAGGCAGGGCAGGGGCAGGGCGGGGAGGGCGCGCAGTGAAGCACAGGCGGATCATGAGACCCTCGTTCGGGGGCGCAGCAGGGGGAGCAGGAGCAGCAGGGGGAGCAGGAGGAGCTGCAAGCGGAGGGGGTGCGTCTGTGGTACAGCCAGCACCAGCAGCGACACCAGGAGCAGATACGGCTTCTGTTGTTGCTGCTGCTCCTCCTTCCGCCGTTGCCCCAGCTTCTGCTGCCATTCCAGCGGCCACAGCTCCAACTGTCGCTGCACCTGTACCTTCCGAGCCTGCAGGCGAGGTTCGGGCCGCACCTGCTGCCGGTGGGATGGAGGTTGAAGGTGGGGCGCAAGAGCAGGGGGCCGCAGGGGTGAGTGAAGCGGTGCAAAGCGGTCAAGTGGGGTTGGCAGGCGAAGCAGTTGAGGGAATGGCAGGAGAAGGGGCAGAGGAGAAGGAGCAGCAAAAAGAGCAGGGTGCAGGTGTGGAGGGGGGGGAGGGTGCGCTGGTGGGAGCAGCAGGGGTGGGTGACATGCAGGGGCAGGAAGCAGCAGCAGCAACAGAAGGGGAAGGAGCAGGAGGGGAAGGTGCCACTGGTGCTGCTGATGCTGCAGGTGGTGCAAGTGATGATGCTGCTGCTGCCGATGCTGCTGCTGTTCCTGCCACTCCTCCCCGCTCACCCACCCCCACCCCTCCACTTACCCCCACAGGGGCTGGTGAGTCTGCTGCCCTCGTGCCTGGGGAAGGCCCAAATGGAGAAGGGGCACCAGAGGAGGCGGCAGGTGGTGATAGCACAGGGGCAGAAGGAGAAGGGGAGGGGGAAGGGATGGGCGCAGGGGATACAGGTGGGGCAGCAGAGGCAGGCGGGGGAGCGGAGGCAGGGGCAGGAGTAGAGGCAGGGGGGGGAGCAGAAGTTCCAGAGATTCACGTGGAGGGTTTGGGGGAGGACGAGGATGGGGGGGAGCATGGCGTGGGGGAGGGGGAGGAGGGGGATGAGGCCATGGGGGAGGGGGCGGACGGGGAGGGTGAGGAGGGCGGGCATGAGGAGTATGAAGGGGAAGGGGGTATGTTTGAGGGGGAGGGGGAAGGGGATGGGGGAGGGGAAGGCGGAGGGGAAGGGGGAGGGGAAGGGGGAGGGGGAGATGAGCATGAGATGGCGGATGTGGGGGAGGAGGGGGGTATGGAGGTGGAGGGCGGGGGGGAGGGTGAGGGTAAAGCGGGGGAGGGGCTGCAGCAGCAGGAAGAGGGAGGACTTGGGGAGTCTGGCGGTGCTGCTGCGGGAGCGGCGGGGGGAGCAGCAGCAGAGGTGGGTGGTGGGGCACCAACTCCAACTCCTGAAGGCACACCTGCTGCAGCACCTGAAGGGGCACCTGATGTTTCTCCTTGGGATACCTCTGCTACAGTGCCTGCTGCTCCCGCTTCTACTGGAGCTGCTACAACGGCCACTGCTGATTCTACCGCTGATGCTGCCGCTGGTGCTGCTGGTACTACCGGTACTGCCAGTACTGCTGGGGCAGTGGAGGGAGCAGCAACACAGCAGCCGGGTACAGGAGTGAGCACAGCAGGAGCAGCAGCTACAGCGGGAACAGGCACAGCAGAGACAGGAGTGAGCACAGCAGCAGCAGCAGCAGGAATGGCTTCCCGACCCAGGCGATCCACAGCAGGGCTGAGAGGCAGGGCCGCAGCAGTGGCAGCAGCAACGGCAGGGCGAGGTGGAGGGCGTGGGGAGGCGGGAGAGGGGGGCGGTGCTGGGGAAGGGGAGGCGGCTCAGCGCGCTGCTGCCAGGCAGGCCCGATTCGGTGCCGCCACGTCTCCCCGCCGCGGCCGAGGCGCAAGGGTGAGTGAGATGTGACACATGCGGACTTGTGGAGGCACGAGGGTGAGTGATATGTGACACATGCGGACTTGTGGAGGCACGATTGTGAGTGATATGTGACACATGCGGACTTGTGGAGGCACGAGGGTGAGTGACTTGAGAACTCTTAGTAGGCAGGTGCAGGGGGAGGTGCGGGAAGAAAAGAGGCGGCTCAGCGCGCTGCAGCCAGGCAGGCTCGGTTCGGGGCTGCTACTTCCCCCCGCCGTGGCCGAGGTGCAAGGGTGAGTGACATGTGACCTTTGTGGACTTGTGGATTTGTTTATGCTCGTTTTGGTGTGTCTGAATGGAGCCTGTTTCTTCAGGAGCAGCTCTGCTATGGTTTGATTCTTGTGTCACTCTGTGCTCTTAGATTTCCCAAACTACTTCTGTGTACACGCACGCATGCACGCACGCACGCACGCACGCACGCACGCACGCATACACATTATACCTGTGATATCCCCTTGTCCATGTATCCCTTCCACTCTCCATATCCCGGCATCCATGGACACGCACTATCCATGCACCCCTTGTGCCGGGCCGAGGTACGCGAGTGATCAGCCTGGTGCAGACAGGCGGACGGGAGACATCCAGCCCACGCGCGCGATGAGCCCTGAGATGTCCCCTTGTCCGCTCAAATTTCCACTCCTCACCTGCCACATCCCCTCACACGCATTATGCATGCATTCCTTGTGCAGGGCCGGGGCACGCGAGTGATCAGCCTGGTGCAGACAGGTGGACGGGGAACGGGCAGCCCACGCGGCCGTCGCCGGGGCAGGGGGGCTGCAGGTAATATTTTACCACCTACACCCTTTCAAGTTCCGTTTTTGTTTGATTAGTTCGCCGTATTTGTGGTTTTCGCAGTGTGGTAGTAGTAGTTTTCGTGTCCTGAAGGCAGTGTGGGGATGTGCTTGTTTGTTGATTTGGATTGGCAGGGGGATCTCCTGCTGCACCAGGGTCAGATGGTGCTGGTGGCACTGGTGCAGCCTGAGAAGAGAAGAGCTCCAGCTGAAGTATGTGGGATCAAGGCTTGAAATCCAGTATTTTGTGAGGATTGACACGCCTTGTGAGTATTGATTGACATGCCATGCACCAACAGTTGGTGCTAGCAAACTCGGCAAATGTTTGGACGCTCTGTCGGTATGTACTGGATGTTGGGATTGAGGCAGCAGCCCTTGTACCCCATGCTTGTGGTATGTGTAGTAAATTGACTCTGCCTAGGTACCTGGCGTTACACGATCCAATGGAGCACATAAACCTGGTTGGAAGTGGTGCTCGACAGTTTGACATTCTCAACCTAGATGCAGAGTTTAAACAATCAGTTACGACCATAAGGTTATGACTTTTGTTGCGTAAGCTCGTGACACCCCTAAACGAAGCAACTCACACCTTGCCGTCCCACTGCAACTGCGACCAACAGAGACGTCGGAAAATCGTTCGGTAGGCAGCCTTCGTCGCAGCAGCTAGAGCACCTCGTCGCGTGCGATGTTCCGGCTCCGAACGACTGGCTGAGCGACATTATTCGGTTGGAGGAACTTTCCAGGCTTTCAAGGGCTGGGCTGGACCTTGCACTACAGTACAAGTTCCCCTTGAGATCCAAACCATCCAACAATTTCGCCGCATCAGGCGAGTGAATCTCCTCTACGATTGGAGATCGGTGACTCCTCAGTTCCAGCGCGTCCCGCCCGCGTGTCAGCCCCACGTCACCCTGAAATTCCGCCTTGGAGCGATGGTTGATGGCTCTCTATCACAGTCATCCACACAGCTGCGGAAATCTGCGCCGAAAATTATCGTCAGCCGCCACGGTAGCGGCGCGACGCGATTACCTGCCATGGATGGCTGTTCGGATGTGGGTTTCGTTCGGTACGGGCATAGCAAAACATTACAGGCGAACACTTCCCGTCAGCAAACCGACTGGGACTTCCCTCATGTTCAGGAATTTCGCGATGCCCGTTTGCGAGGGGCAGGTTGAATTGAGAGACTTGAAGATACATTCATGCTGAAGATGGTTCGGGATTCGGGAACGTGACGGCTCAGAAGAGATCGGGCAGTCAATTGACTGGCCAGGGGAGACCACAACAGACCAGACCTCACCACCAGTGTTATCAGAGAGCAGACGCGGGGAGCTCGGGCAGCCACCAAAATACAGTGAATGCACCCAACGCTCATCAGCCGATTTGTTGCCTGGACCACCAACCAACAGACACCAACCAAATAACCAGCCAATCAACCAGCAAACAAACCAACCCTAGGGATTGCCGAGAAGGATCTATAAAAATATGTGCTTGTTAGAAGGTCCTGCGCTGACAAAATATCTATTTATTAGGCGACGAACTCTCGACTCTGCTGTTAGCCTTGTTTCGACGTTTGGTCATCTGCTAAATTCACATCTCATATTAGCTCTGTTCTCTCGCACTCATCTCTTTTATTAGTCCTCTACTGACTCGCAGCCATGATAAACTACGAGAAGAGATTCGGAGCGTTCAATCTGCTGTTGAGATTCTACGGCTCGCAATGGCCGCGAGCGACGCTGCTCGCCCTGCCTAGCGCCATTCTCGCCGGACTTCTCTCCGCGTTCATATTCGTCGATAAATCCCAACACCTCTTCCTCCACCCATACCCCTGTGAGCCTCACTCCCTGTTCTCCCTTCTTCCTCTCACCCTCGCTGAGAATTCTGAGAAAGCACTACCGAATTCCCAGTAATTTCATAGTGCGTATGGAACGGCCTCGCTGCTGTAATCATGCGTTTTTTCCCATCTGTTTCCCAATAGCCGCGGTCTACCTGACTCTTCTTCTCCCTTGCGTCCCTCGTCTCGTCCCTCGTGCGCGCGTCCCGCGTGCGTCCCTCGTGCGCGCTGCGTGCTCCACCGCAGATGCCGTCTTCAGCGGCGTCGTCGCCTTCATCCTCATCTTCCGCACCAATCTCAGCTACGCGGTAAGCCTGCTCACCCGAAGACGGCTCGACGAAATCGCGCGCCAAACAATACGACAGACTCTGCGGAATGTGATAAATTGGCCGAGTGAGGATCGATTTGCTCAACAGAAGTCGAGACGGATTTCGAGACAGCCACGGCCGTGTTGAGAATTATTAATAACAGTCGCTGGCTTTCAGCGCCTTCGTGTACTCATTTGTTTTGGCTTGCCTTTTCAATGCTCTTAACTCCAATTCTTCTTCTCGACCGTGTTATTTCTTATTATCCCGTGGCGTCTGTTTGTCGCAGAGATACTGGGAGGGGCGAACAATGCTCGCTCAAATGAGGTCCGTCCGTCGTCTCGTCCTTGCCGCAATCCTTCCTTCCTCGCCATTTCATAGCCTTCACTCCGTTTCGTTCTCTTTATTTTTGTTCCTTTTAATTTGTTTCAATAATCGCTATTCGCTTCCGTTTCAAAACTCCCTGTTTTTCTCCCTCTCCCTATCTCTCTCTCGCGTGCTGTGCAGCTCGAAATGGGGCGACGCAGCAATCCAGGTGAGCCATCGGTGTTGCAATCCGCAATCTCATTTAGTTATTACATTCGCTCTCTACGCGCCGTCAACCGTTTCGTCATTTGGCCAATCAGCTTCGCTCGTCCTCCATTCCCCTGTGCTCTTTCCGCAGGTGATATCGTTCGACGAGGGAGCCAAGGAGCCCGTGCCGGGCGGGATTCGGTTCCGCTCCGAGTTTGTACACACCATGAGCCTCATGCACGCACTCGCGCTGCAGGTATGCAGCATGGCTTGTGAATCAGCAACATGGCAATCCATGCACACGCTCGCTAAAACTTCTGCCCGCGCTAAACCCCTGCTCACCGCAATCCTTCCTTTGCTCTCTGTCACCGCCTCTCTCTTGTCCGTGCGACTTATTCTCCCCCCCTGCGTCCGCCTCCCACCCCTTCCCATCGCCCTGTCTGATATCTGTGTGGAGCAGAGACTAAGAGGAGACTCCTACCTGAGCAACCTAACTTATGGTGCGTGCTTCGACTCCCTGCCTTTTACTGCTGCTCCACGCGTTTGCCGTGTCTCTTGCTTCGACTTCCCCTTCCCCATTAAGTTTAGTACTTAAGGCGCCTTCATAATCTGAATACCTCTCTTCCTCTCTCGCCCACGCAGGTCGCTTCATGGACATCCCTCCAGAGCCGCCAGTGGACGCTGATCAGGTGGAGGAGTGGAACCGAGTGCGCGGGAACAAGTGAGTGCTGCGCTGTCATACGTTGGTCCTGTTTGGGTTGGGCTGGGTTTGGTTGGTTTGGGTTGGGTTTCACTTCTAAGCTCCCATCCCTCCTCCAACCCATGCTTCCCATCCATCTGTTCTCCCACCCGTGCCTTCTACCCATGCCATCGCAGGTCCCTTGTGTTCCTAAGGGCCCACCGCCCCCACCTGGAGAAGTACTGGCGGGCGCTGCCGCTGGCAGTGCTGGGGGGAGTGAACCTCACGGAGTGCAGCATCCTGGAACCTTCCCGCGACCGTGTGTACCTGGTGATGTGCTGGCTGCACCGGGCGCTCGTGGCTCGTCGCATGGCAGGAGGGATTTCCCAAGACGCACCTATCGTGTCGAGAATATACCAAGTGCTCTCAGGTGAGGTCATGGTTGTTTTTTAGGTGCCCCGAGTGTAAGTAAGTATCTCCCATCCTTATCTCCCATCCTTCCCAAACCATCCTCCCTTCCTCCCCCCCTCCCCTCTCCCCCCCACCAGACGGCATGCTGGGGTACGAGAACGCGCTCAAGATAGTGAACACGCCCTTCCCCTTCCCCTTCGCGCAGTGTGTGGCGCTCCTCCTGCACATCAACGCCCTCGTCATCCCGCTCCTCATGGCCGACTGGCTCGCCGACCCCCTCCTGGCCTCCGCAATCACCCTCCTCTCCGTCTTCTCCTTCTACCTTCTCAACGAGGTCGCGAGGGAAATCGAAGAGCCGTTTCGCTTCGACCCGAATGATCTTCCCGTGGTGTACCTGCATCATAAGTTTAATGAGCGGCTAGTGACGGCGTTTTCGAGAAGCGTTTTTCCTGCGGACGGGCTGTTTACGCACATTGATGAGAAGGAAATGGCGTGGCTTTTAGCTAAGCACCGGCCGGTGACAGTGGTGAAGGGAGCGGAGGAGAAGGTGGGGGTGTTAGACATCAAGGACTGTGTTATCGATGTGCTGTGCGGCAACGAGCTTGAAGAGAAGGCTCGGGCCGAGGCTGGCTCAGAGGGTGGGTGCTGCGGAGTGGGAGGAGCACCTGCTGCTGCCACCGCTGCTGCTACCGCTGCTGCTACTGCGACTGCTCAGCAGCTCCTCGCTGCTGCCAGCTCGTGTGTGAGCAGCGTTCGAGAGTCCTTCCCCAGACTACGATCCACCTGAGCAAATGAGGACCTTCAGAGGCGTCCCCTGCTTCTCTTCTCCACCTGCTTCTCCCTTGGGCTGCTCAAGTAAGGTCTTGCTCAGCCAGGGAAGTGGATTAAGTGAGTGGAAGCACTCCAAGGTGCTGCTTCCTGCTTTACCTGGAAAAATGAAGACCTGTAGAAGATCCTTCTCCTGCTGCTGATGGACAGCTGGGGGAGTGGCGGGGCAGCAGAGACAGTGGTGGTTGTGGCTGATCTAGAGGCTGATCTAGAGGCGTGATGCACAGCACAGCCTTCAGCAATTTGAAGGCTGTTTGCTTCGGGTCCTGTAGGGAGGCAGAAGCACAGCCAAGTAGGTTAGTTAAGTAGGGAGGAAGGTTGATTAGGAGCAAAGATGACTATGTTGGTCATTATTGTTATTTATTGTAGTGTTCATTTAAGTGGATGGTATCTAAGCCAGTAACTGGCTATTGCTGGAGATTATTTTGTTGCAAGCTTCCAGGAGTCTGCTATGTGCCTTCATGGTCTGTATAGTTTGTCACTGTCTGGTAAGCGACCGAGCCAGTACATAACGCGTACACTTAAGGCTATTCCAAGGGACTGGCTGGCAGCAACCGAAACACAATTGACGCGAACCCCAAGGTCAGCATACCAACCGCCAGAAACACAACTCAACACCTTTCAAACCAACCAAACCGATCAAGCCGAGGACCGCCGCAGCGGTACCAGGTCGTCCCGTCGCATCTTGTCTCATCAACAACGTAGCTTTCGGTACCTAACAGCTGCTCCACTGAACGACTTCGGAACAAAGACATCGTCACCTCGTTTGTTTCTGAGATTATGTCACCCGCCAGATTCGCACCTTACATATTGGCTGTCGATTCCTTAGATTTTGTCGCTTGCACTTGGCCCTCTTTCGTCGCTTTCACTAGGCCCGATGATAAGCTACGAGAAGAGATTCGGAGCGTTGAATCTCCTATTAAGAGTTTACGGCTCGCAATGGCCGCGAGCGACGCTACTCGCCCTCCCTAGCGCCGTTCTCGCCGGACTTCTCTCCGCGTTCATATTCGTCGATAGAACCCAGCACCTCTTCCTCCACCCATACCCCTGTGAGCCTCGCTCCGTCACGCCTCATCACTCCCCTCCTCGCTCGCTCCCTCACGCACTCCCCCGCTCCTGTCACTGTCCCTCTTCTCTTACCTCCCATCTCTGCTGCGGAATGCACTCTCTTCTTTTACTAAGCACTAGCGCACTCTTTGCTCGTTTGTTAAGACGTGCACTCTAGAACCTCTGCACCAGTGTCATAGCCTCGTTTTCTTGCGCTGCGCCGAATCCTCCGCGAGATGACGCAGCTGGCACGCTATTTTTTTCCGGCCGTATTCCGCGACTCGAGGTTGACCCGGTGCCCGAATCTGCTCTTCCCATGCGTCCCTCGCGCGACTTTTGAGGCGCCTCAATGTTCCTCCGGCGGCTGTTTCTCACGACTACAAAATTGACTGGTTGCTCGAATCTATACCGTAGCGCGTCCCTCCCTCATGCGTGCGCGCTCGCCGCTTTTTGAGACGTCCCAAAAATGTTTATCTTGCGTTCCTCTTGCGTTCCTCTTGCGTTCCTCTTGCGTTCCTCTTGCGTTCCTCTTGCGTTCCTCTTGCGTTCCTCTTGCGTTCCTCTTGCGTTCCTCTTGCGTGTGCTCTCGTCGCAGATGCCGTGTTTAGCAGCGCCGTCGCGTTCGTCCTGATTTTTCGCACCAATCTCAGCTACGCGGTAAGCCACTCAGGTTTTGACACAAAACTTGACGGACTGACAAGGAAATTGACAAACTAACGGCAAGGGGTTGGCTCCCATGTGGCAACAGTTGCGCCAGAAAGTTTGTCGCGTTCTGGTTTGCGCTGTGTGTGCTTGTGAGACCGTACTGTACCATACACAAGCTCCTCCTCTGGTCTGACCATGGCCCTTTTTGTTTTACCCGTGGCATGTGTTGGTGTGGCAGAGATACTGGGAGGGGCGAACCATGCTCGCACAAATGAGGTCCGTCCGTTGTCTCATCCTTTCCATGTCTCGTCCTTTCCATGTCTCGTCCTTTCCATGTCTCGTCCTTTCCATGTCTCGTCCTTTCCATGTCTCGTCCTTTCCATGTCTCGTGCTTTCCATGTCTCGTGCTTTCCATGTCTCGTCCTTTCCATGTCTCGTCCTTTCCATGTCTCATCCTTTCCATGTCTCGTCCTTTCCACGTCTCGTCCTTTCCATGTCTCGTCCTTTCCATGTCTCGTCCTTTCCATGTCTCATCCTTTCCATGTCTCGTCCTTTCCATGTCTCATCCTTTCCATGTCTCATCCTTTCCATGTCTCGTCCTTTCCATGTCTCGTCCTTTCCACGTCTCGTCCTTTCCATGTCTCATCCTTTCCACGTCTCGTCCTTTCCATGTCTCGTCCGTTCCATGTCTCGTCCTTTCCATGTCTCATCCTTTCCATGTCTCATCCTTTCCATGTCTCGTCCTTTCCATGCCCCGTCCTTCCCATGCCCCGTCCTTCCCATGCCCCGTCCTTCCCATGCCTCGCCCCTCTCTTCTCTTCTCCTCTCCTCGCCCTCCCTCCCTCCCTCCTTCATGCAGTTCGAAATGGGGAGACGCTGCAATCCAGGTGAGCAAATTGTTGTTGTAACGTGCCATGTTTGACGCAAATTCAGGTGAGCAAATTCAGCTAGTTGCAATGCACATGCTGTGGAGGGGGGCAAGGAGGGGCCAGTGGAGCCGGGTAGAATTTGGATCCCGTCCCATCTCCCCCTCCTCTCCTTCCGTCTGCACCTCCGGCCTTACCGTTTTCCTCACCCCCCTCGCCCTCCGCAGGTCATATCCTTCGATGAGGGGGGCCAGGAGGAGCCAGTGGAGCCGGGGGGGATTCGATTCCGCTCCGAGTTTGTACACACCATGAGCCTCATGCACGCGCTCGCGCTGCAGGTATGCAGCGTGCCTTCCCGGTACCCACACACCATGAGCCTCATGCACGCCCTCGCGCTGCAGGTACTCACGTCATGCTCACAACTCATGCATTTTCAGCTTCACCACCATAAGCATGCATGCATGCACGCGCTCGCGCTGCAGGTGTTGCACCGTCTTAGATCTCAATGTCAGTGCGTGTGAGTAAGCAAGCAGCATCCATTCTGTGTTTGTGCACGCCATGAGTTTCATGCACGCCATGAGTTTCATGCACACCATCAGCCTACCTGCCTGCATGCCTACCTGCCTGCATGCCTGCCTGCCTTCCTGCCTTATCACCTCTCTCTCCCCTCACCTCCTGTCTCACCCCTCACTGCTTCTCTCTCCCCTCACCTCCTCTTTCACCCCTCGCCGCCTCTCTCCCCTCGCCGCCTCTCTCCCCTCGCCGCCTCTCTCCCCTCGCCGCCTCTCTCCCCTCACCTCCTCTCTCCCCTCACCTCCTCTCTCTCCTCACCTCCTCTCTCTCCTCTCCGCGCCTTGCTATCTTCTTTGTGTCTCTCCTACTTACAATCTCCCGGCATTGCTTTCCATCACACCATGCCTGTCTGTGCCGAGCAGAGACTACGAGGAGACTCACACCTCACCAACTTGACTTATGGTCTGTACTTTGACTTATGGTCTGTACTCTTATGGTTTGTATGAGCTGATGTGTGGGCTCATTCTTGACTCTGCTCTTCTCTCCCTATTTTTGCCTCCTTGCCATACCTCCTTCCATTCCTCTCCTTGCCCTTGTTGCATAAACAAGCTGTGACCAGTTCCCGTCCCTACAAAACGTTTCGCGCTTCATTCGCATCGCGCCGCTTCTCTCTGCTTTTCTCTGCTGCTGGACAGGTCGATTCATGGACATCCCACCAGAGCCACCAGTGGATGCAGATCAGGTGGAGGAGTGGAACAGTAGCCGCCTCATAATCTGATTCCCCTCTTCCTCTCTCTGCCTCTCTGCCCCTCCGCCTCTCTCTCCCGTACAGGTCGATTCATGGACATCCCACCAGAGCCACCAGTGGATGCGGATCAGGTGGAAGAATGGAACAGTAGCCGCCTCATAATCTGCCCCTCTGCCTCTCTGCCTCTCTTCCTCTCTCTCCCGTGCAGGTCGTTTCATGGACATCCCACCAGAGCCGCCAGTGGATGCGGAGCAGGTGGAAGAATGGAAGCGAGTGCGCGGAAACAAGTGAGTGGAGGCAGCAGGGAGGACATTGAGAATGGCGAGGTTAATAACCAGACGAGGAGGTTAACTAACACGTCTAGTACCAAACATAAGGTTACGTAGTGGGGTTTTATGGTAAACCAGACATGAGGTGAAGTACGATACTTTTATAGCCAGTAACTGGCGGGCTTTGCTTTGCTTGCCCCTCCCTGTGCTTCTCTGCCCCTCGCAGTCCATCTCCGCTGCCCCTCCCGTTGCATGTACTCCACTCGTGCTCCCAAGTTCCCCCCCCCATCCCACCCACCCCGCTCCCATCCACTCCTCCCACCCACGCCCCAGGTCCTCCATTTTCCTGCGTGCCCACCGCCCCCACCTGGAGAAGTACTGGCGGGCGCTGCCTCTGGCAGTGCTGGGGGGAGTGAACCCCACGGAGTGCAGCATCCTGGAACCTTCCCGCGATCGTGTGTACCTGGTGATGTGCTGGCTGCACCGCGCGCTCGTGGCTCGGCGCATGGCGGGAGGGATTTCCCAAGACGCTCCGATTGTGTCGAGAATATACCAAGTGTTGTCTGGTAAGCCCTTCTTGCGCTTCATGCAAGCGAAATGGCCGTTGATTTTTTACGAATGAAATGTCACGTTAAAAGTTTCAGAACTGTTTTGATCTATGTGGAGTCGTCAATAAGACATATGTTCCATTCCATACCGTCAAGAATGAAAGGTTTGTTGAAATAACTGGCAGCAAATTTAACAATTTAGAAGTATGGCGGCATTGTGTTAGCCTCGTATGGAGAATGTTTAACCTCATACTATCGCGCTACAATTATATAAAGAATGCGAGAAGGGGAGATGGAAACTCAACAGCCGTATTTCAACTGTATCGATTGCTGACTGACCACTTAGATATAGGGTCTTGAATATAGATACCAAGTGCTCTTAAGTACGAGTGTACGTTATTCTTAAAGAGCGCCTCATTACTAGTTGTGTTGTGCCAAAAATGGGTCATTTTGATCACTTGTTTTTATAGAAACTTGCCTCTGCCATTGCCATTGTCATGCAAGCATTGGTCGTGTCACCACTCACTGCTGGCTCGTTGGTGGTGCACCGTTCCATCATCACGTCTTGTTCTTCCCTATCCTCACTTTTGAGTCGACTCAAAAGTCACCTCGCTGTTGCACCGTTCCGTTCCATCAATGAGCCATCAATGGGTCGTTCCATCACGTCTTGTTCTTCCCTATCCTCACCACACCGTCCCCTCTCTTCCCATTCCTCCTTTCCCCTCCTTCTTCACCCCCTTCCTCCACCCCCTCCCCCCCACCCTCCTCCCCCCTCCCCCCCACCAGACGGCATGCTGGGGTACGAGAACGCGCTCAAGATAGTGAACACGCCCTTCCCCTTCCCCTTCGCGCAGTGTGTGGCGCTCCTCCTGCACATCAACGCCCTCGTCATCCTGCTCCTCATGGCCGACTGGCTCGCAGACCCATACCTTGCATCAGCTATCACTTTGCTCTCCGTCTTCTCGTTTTATCTTCTGAATGAAGTTGCAAGGGAGATTGAGGAACCGTTTCAATTCGACCCGAATGACCTTCCGATGGTGTATTTGCACCACAAATTCAACGAGCGGCTTGTGACGGCGTTTACTAGAAGTGCTTTCCCAGCGGATGGGCTGTTTACACAGATTGACGACAAGGAGATGGAATGGCTTTTAGCTAAGCACCGGCCGCTGATGGTGACAGAAGGAGTGGAGCGGGAAGAGGGAGTTACTGCCACAGCCTGTGTTGTCGATGTGTTGTGCGCTGACGAACCTCGAGATAAGGTTCGGGCCGAGGCTGGCTCGGGGGGTGGATGATGCGGGGTGGTTGGAGTAGCTGCTGCTGCCTCTGCAGACGAACAGATGGGGGAGCGGCTGGACTGGAGTGATAAGAGAGGAAGGTGTTGCAGCATCGACAGACCTTGACTTTTGAGTCGACTCAAAAGTCACCGCGGCTGGACTAGAGTGAAGAGAGGAAGGTGTTACAGCATCGACAGACCTTGACTTTTGAGTCGACTCAAAAGTCACCGCGGCTGGACTAGAGTGAAGAGAGGAAGGTGCTGCAGCATCGACAGACCTTGCTGTCACCTTTAGGAGATCTACAAGTGACATGATGGCCCTTCTATATAAATAGGACATTAGGATAGTTATTGTCCGATGTAAATATATGTAAATATGATAATAGGATAGTTATTTTCCTAAAAGGATGGGTAGGGATCAGTAACCAGCCTGTCACCACACATCACTTGGGCAGCTGCAACCAGGGCATTCGCCTTCAGCAAAACTGCAACATATGGTGTGTTCCTTCTAAAGCAATTACTGAGGCGCTGTTAAAAGTCAGCACCCAAACGAACCTCCCCAGACCTGTGTCTGGCTGTCAGTTGGACAGCTCCTTGCTGCGGTTGGCAGCTGCAACCACGGCATTCACGCTGAGGCGCCACTAGAAGTTTGATACCCGAACCTTCCCTGTCCTTGCTCCTCAGCCTGGCCGTCAGTTGGACAGCTCCTTGCTGCGGTTGGCAGCAGCAACCACGGCATTCATGAGCAGCGATCGGAATCCGCCCCTCTCAAGCTCATGCAGCCCGGCAATGGTGGTGCCTGCATGGTGGTCAAGGGGGGCACGGCGGGGTGCGGGTGGGGTGGGTAACGGGTACAAAGTGAGTGCAATTTTAGGCTGGCTGCTGCAACCACGGCATTCATGAGCAGCGATCGGAACCCGCCCCTCTCAAGCTCATGCAGCCCGGCAATGGTGGTGCCTGCATGGTGGTCAAGGGGGGCACGGCGGGGTGCGGGTGGGGTGGGTAACGGGTACAAAGTGAGTGCAATTTTACGCTGGCTGCTGCAACCACGGGCATTCATGAGCAGCGATCGGAACCCGCCCCTCTCAAGCTCATGCAGCCCGGCAATGGTGGTGCCTGCATGGTGGTCAAGGGGGGCACGGCGGGGTGCGGGTGGGGTGGGTAACGGGTACAAAGTGAGTGCAATTTTAGGCTGGCTGCTGCAACCACGGGCATTCATGAACAGCGATCGGAATCCGCCCCTCTCAAGCTCATGCAGCCCGACAATGGTGGTGCCTGCATGGTGGTCAAGGGGGGCACGGCGGGGTGCGGGTGGGGTGGGTAACGGGTACAAAGTGAGTGCAATTTTAGGCTGGCTGCTGCAACCACGGGCATTCATGAGCAGCGATCGGAACCCGCCCCTCTCAAGCTCATGCAGCCCGGCAATGGTGGTGCCTGCATGGTGGTCAAGGGGGGCACGGCGGGGTGCGGGTGGGGTGGGTAACGGGTACAAAGTGAGTGCAATTTTAGGCTGGCTGCTGCAACCACGGGCATTCATGAGCAGCGATCGGAACCCGCCCCTCTCAAGCTCATGCAGCCCGGCAATGGTGGTGCCTGCATGGTGGTCAAGGGGGGCACGGCGGGGTGCGGGTGGGGTGGGTAACGGGTACAAAGTGAGTGCAATTTTAGGCTGGCTGCTGCAACCACGGGCATTCATGAGCAGCGATCGGAACCCGCCCCTCTCAAGCTCATGCAGCCCGGCAATGGTGGTGCCTGCATGGTGGTCAAGGGGGGCACGGCGGGGTGCGGGTGGGGTGGGTAACGGGTACAAAGTGAGTGCAATTTTAGGCTGGCTGCTGCAACCACGGCATTCATGAGCAGCGATCGGAATCCGCCCCTCTCAAGCTCATGCAGCCCGGCAATGGTGGTGCCTGCATGGTGGTCAAGGGGGGCACGGCGGGGTGCGGGTGGGGTGGGTAACGGGTACAAAGTGAGTGCAATTTTAGGCTGGCTGCTGCAACCACGGGCATTCATGAGCAGCGATCGGAACCCGCCCCTCTCAAGCTCATGCAGCCCGGCAATGGTGGTGCCTGCATGGTGGTCAAGGGGGGCACGGCGGGGTGCGGGTGGGGTGGGTAACGGGTACAAAGTGAGTGCAATTTTAGGCTGGCTGCTGCAACCACGGGCATTCATGAGCAGCGATCGGAACCCGCCCCTCTCAAGCTCATGCAGCCCGGCAATGGTGGTGCCTGCATGGTGGTCAAGGGGGGCACGGCGGGGTGCGGGTGGGGTGGGTAACGGGTACAAAGTGAGTGCAATTTTAGGCTGGCTGCTGCAACCACGGGCATTCATGAGCAGCGATCGGAACCCGCCCCTCTCAAGCTCATGCAGCCCGGCAATGGTGGTGCCTGCATGGTGGTCAAGGGGGGCACGGCGGGGTGCGGGTGGGGTGGGAAACGGGTACAAAGTGAGTGCAATTTTAGGCTGGCTGCTGCAACCACGGGCATTCATGAGCAGCGATCGGAATCCGCCCCTCTCAAGCTCATGCAGCCCGGCAATGGTGGTGCCTGCATGGTGGTCAAGGGGGGCACGGCGGGGTGCGGGTGGGGTGGGTAACGGGTACAAAGTGAGTGCAATTTTAGGCTGGCTGCTGCAACCACGGGCATTCATGAGCAGCGATCGGAACCCGCCACTCTCAAGCTCATGCAGCCCGGCAATGGTGGTGCCTGCATGGTGGTCAAGGGGGGCACGGCGGGGTGCGGGTGGGGTGGGTAACGGGTACAAAGTGAGTGCAATTTTAGGCTGGCTGCTGCAACCACGGGCATTCATGAGCAGCGATCGGAACCCGCCCCTCTCAAGCTCATGCAGCCCGGCAATGGTGGTGCCTGCATGGTGGTCAAGGGGGGCACGGCGGGGTGCGGGTGGGGTGGGTAACGGGTACAAAGTGAGTGCAATTTTAGGCTGGCTGCTGCAACCACGGGCATTCATGAGCAGCGATCGGAACCCGCCCCTCTCAAGCTCATGCAGCCCGGCAATGGTGGTGCCTGCATGGTGGTCAAGGGGGGCACGGCGGGGTGCGGGTGGGGTGGGTAACGGGTACAAAGTGAGTGCAATTTTAGGCTGGCTGCTGCAACCACGGGCATTCATGAGCAGCGATCGGAACCCGCCCCTCTCAAGCTCATGCAGCCCGGCAATGGTGGTGCCTGCATGGTGGTCAAGGGGGGCAAGGCGGGGTGCGGGTGGGGTGGGTAACGGGTACAAAGTGAGTGCAATTTTAGGCTGGCTGCTGCAACCACGGCATTCATGAGCAGCGATCGGAATCCGCCCCTCTCAAGCTCATGCAGCCCGGCAATGGTGGTGCCTGCATGGTGGTCAAGGGGGGCACGGCGGGGTGCGGGTGGGGTGGGTAACGGGTACAAAGTGAGTGCAATTTTAGGCTGGCTGCTGCAACCACGGGCATTCATGAGCAGCGATCGGAACCCGCCCCTCTCAAGCTCATGCAGCCCGGCAATGGTGGTGCCTGCATGGTGGTCAAGGGGGGCACGGCGGGGTGCGGGTGGGGTGGGTAACGGGTACAAAGTGAGTGCAATTTTAGGCTGGCTGCTGCAACCACGGGCATTCATGAGCAGCGATCGGAACCCGCCCCTCTCAAGCTCATGCAGCCCGGCAATGGTGGTGCCTGCATGGTGGTCAAGGGGGGCACGGCGGGGTGCGGGTGGGGTGGGTAACGGGTACAAAGTGAGTGCAATTTTAGGCTGGCTGCTGCAACCACGGGCATTCATGAGCAGCGATCGGAACCCGCCCCTCTCAAGCTCATGCAGCCCGGCAATGGTGGTGCCTGCATGGTGGTCAAGGGGGGCACGGCGGGGTGCGGGTGGGGTGGGTAACGGGTACAAAGTGAGTGCAATTTTAGGCTGGCTGCTGCAACCACGGGCATTCATGAGCAGCGATCGGAACCCGCCCCTCTCAAGCTCATGCAGCCCGGCAATGGTGGTGCCTGCATGGTGGTCAAGGGGGGCACGGCGGGGTGCGGGTGGGGTGGGTAACGGGTACAAAGTGAGTGCAATTTTAGGCTGGCTGCTGCAACCACGGCATTCATGAGCAGCGATCGGAATCTGCCCCTCTCAAGCTCATGCAGCCCGGCAATGGTGGTGCCTGCATGGTGGTCAAGGGGGGCACGGCGGGGTGCGGGTGGGGTGGGTAACGGGTACAAAGTGAGTGCAATTTTAGGCTGGCTGCTGCAACCACGGGCATTCATGAGCAGCGATCGGAACCCGCCCCTCTCAAGCTCATGCAGCCCGGCAATGGTGGTGTCTGCATGGTGGTCAAGGGGGGCACGGCGGGGTGCGGGTGGGGTGGGTAACGGGTACAAAGTGAGTGCAATTTTAGGCTGGCTGCTGCAACCACGGCATTCATGAGCAGCGATCGGAACCCGCCCCTCTCAAGCTCATGCAGCCCGGCAATGGTGGTGCCTGCATGGTGGTCAAGGGGGGCACGGCGGGGTGCGGGTGGGGTGGGTAACGGGTACAAAGTGAGTGCAATTTTAGGCTGGCTGCTGCAACCACGGGCATTCATGAGCAGCGATCGGAACCCGCCCCTCTCAAGCTCATGCAGCCCGGCAATGGTGGTGCCTGCGTGGTGGACAAAGGGGCAGGGGTGGGGAGGGAAAGGGGGAGTAGAGTTACTAGAGTAGCCGGCACAGAGTGACAATTCTGAGTTGGTGCGTGCACGGCAGTCAACGGGGGCGCGGGAGAGAGAAAGAGAATCGGCTGAAAACACTGCCAGCCATAGAAGAGTTTTTCACATTCTCGGTTTTAACAGGGTAACTTTTTACTACTGTCGATCATTTGCTAAAGATTTCTTCTAGACTGCAGCTCGCCTAACAAGCTTCTATGGCCAACGAGAGTGGCGTAGAGGAATGGTGGTCGGAAAAATACCTGCTGGTGATGCGACGGAGTCTTTAAGTTGGGCCGGGTGCTTCTGTGTGTCTATCACCATCTTGGCTGCTCCATACACCTGCCGCGAGCTCACCGTCAGGGA